TGTGTCACTGGAGGATGTTGCTGGGGGTCAGGCAGCCATCTTCTGAAGCAGCATGGGCTGCTGCATTACGGCAGGGGCGGGGCTTATCTGCGGGAGGCGGGGCTTCATTTCAGAGCGGGGCCTGTGCCGGGGAGCCAATCAGTGCTCCCTCCGGCCACAGACAGCCCCCAGCACCTCTCTCCTGCATTCCCTCGGGCTGTCACAGGCTGTTACAGTCCAAAGGAAGCCCATGGCCAGCAAGTTGCTGGCATTTGGGGGGGCCCAAGGGGGGCACAGCATGATGTAGGGGGGCCATCGCCCCCTCTGGCCCCCCCCTAGCGACGCCACTGGGCAGCAAACGTGATGGGCTGGTATTCTGTAATTTTTCTTGACCTGTCAGAATCAGGTGTTTCGCAGCAATTTCATGTACTGTGCATGTGCATGAGCACACACCACCCTATAAACATATACAGGGAGGAGACAAGGTCTGCATAAACAGAAACAAAAGTGATTTAATTCCCAAATGCCAGATAATTGTGAAGCAAGACGGCAGGTACATGATCTTCATTACCAAAACTGCTTCATTTAGCTAAAGTTGTTTTGATGCCTATTGTGTCCCTTTAAACTTATCTGTTATATTGATCAGTATTGCTTCAGACCAGAGGAAGAGAGGAATTCTCTGGAAAGCTTGTCTTTTAAGTGTTGACAGAATTGTTACAGTTTGTAATGTCGCATCAATCAGAGCTATGTTTTCCACATGTGTAAATAATGGCCTTATTTTTTATTATATATTATGTTTTTTTTGTTTTTTTTTAATTCTTTATTTTTCGCTCTGACAGTCAAGCATTGTTACAATAGTGCAGACATAGGTGGATAAATGACTGTACAAGTTTTGTTTGTATGTAGTACAGAATACAGAGTAGCATAGTTAGTACAGGCGTCCGTTACATACTGTGCACTTTGGGTGCGTTGCCGCCAGAGTTTTTCTTTTGTGTTGGCAAGCAGAAAAAAAATAACTATGTACAGTGGTAGAATTGTTGAGGAGTGTGCTGTGTCATGAACTCTCAGGTTGGCTTTGATGAGTGTGTTGTGTTGTCGTGGCCCAGGCGTATGTGTGGGGTATTCTGATCTTGCCCAGGTAGGTCAGGCATTGTGCCCTCCCTGTCTGCTCTGTCCATGCCACCCCCTGTGTGCTGTCATTCCGCTATGCGCAGAATCAGGCAGAGTCTGATAGTGTTGGAGCTTTTCTCTCCTCCTGTTTGTTTACATGGTCTGGTGTGCTTGCAAGAGATAAAAACATACAAGGAAAGGGTAGATAGAGATAGACAAGTAGAGATTGCAGCGTATTAAAGTACGGAGATAAGGTGATCTCCTGGGGGCCGTGAACCCTGTGCCGCCCGTCCCAGTGGGCTGCGGCCTTTGTTCCGGCTTTAACCAGGTACCCGTTCTGCAGTGGAGCCGCTTCCACCCGTCCGGGTTATGGTATGATGGCGACCGTTGGGTGAGCCCCAGTTGTCGCCACTGAAATGTACCGCATGGATGCCGCCCCGCGCCCCGGGCCATGAGTCTATGTGTCGTATTGCTCCCATGGACCCCACACCTTGTGGAATGTGGTCAATGTGTTCCGCACTTGGGCCGTGAGTTTATCCATCAGATAATTATCGCGTTTTGTCCTGACCAGGGATAGCTGTGGGAGGTCCTGGCATGACCAGTGTTGTGCTACTGCCCTACGGGCCGCTAGGTAGATCATGTTAAGGAATTTTTGTTCGTGTCTTGGGAGGCCCTCCGTGGGTCTAGATAAAAGGCACGCCCATGGATCTAGTGTCATCCGTTTTCGTAAGATTTGGGAGCTGAAGTTTACTATGCTGCGCCAGTAGGTCGCCACCTTTGGGCATTCCCACCACATGTGTATGTAGGTCCCCTTCCCCCCACATAAGTGCCAGCAATCATCTGTAGGACGCAATTTCATGTGTTTTTGTTTCACTGGAGTCATGTACCAACAGAATAGTGTTTTATAAGATTGTTCTTGGAGTGTTACGCATATAGTGGTTTTGGTGCATGCCTCCAAAATGTCTTGCCACTCCGTTCCCTCCAGTACCTCCCCCAGGTCGGCTTCCCACTGGTCAGCGTATTGGAGTGCGCCCGTCGTGTCTGGGGTCGTGTTGAGGTGGTTGTATAGTAATGTAATTAGCTTAGATTGTGTGGTCTCCGTATAGCATAGTCTCTCGAAAAAGGTTAGTGGTGTCAGGGCTGCCTTTTTTACGTCAGGTCTCTGTGCAAAGTCTCGGATTTGCAGATACCTGAAATAGTCTCTAGTTTGCAGTGTGGCTTTGGTGTTCAGGTGTGCGTATGTGACTATTTCCTGGTTTATGAATAGGTGGACGTATCTTTGGAGCCCTGTGGCTTCTATCCCTTTGTAGTCCCGGGCCCTCATTTCCGGTGGGAATGCCCTATTCCGAAAGACCGGTGCCATGGGAGATGGGGGGGGGGCTTAGTAAGTATTTCGTTTTAGTTTGGTCCCATATCCTTATGGAGTTCAGTATGGCCGGGTTTGTGGTTCTCAGCATGGCCCTTTGTGTTTCCGATGCCCATATGAAGAATTGTGGGAGGTCCTGTCCCGTCATTAGGGACTCCATGTCGACCCAGCGTCGCGCATCAGGGTGTGTGTGCCATTGTATGATCTGGGCTAGCTGTGCCGCTAGGTAATAATTATATACATTAGGTAGTCCCAGTCCCCCCCTGGGTTTTGGTCTGTACATGAGGGTGCATGCTATTCTCGGGCGTTTGTTGTGCCAAATGAAGGAGTCGATTGCCCGCTGTATGCCCGTCAGGTCCCCCCGGGAAACTTGCACCAGGAGTGCCTGAAAGAGGAACAGGATCCTCGGCAGCACATTCATTTTTATTGTGTTGACGCGTCCCAGCCAGGATATGGGCCTATGTGTCCACTGCTCCATTTCCGTAATCAGGGTCCGGATCAGTGGTTTGTAATTACGGGCATAGAGAGACGATGTGGATGCCGTTAGGCGGACCCCTAGGTACATGAATTCCTCTGTGGTTATTTTTAAGCGATATTGTTTGCGTATGTGCGCTATGTCTTGGGGCTGTATATGGAAGGGCATTGCTACTGACTTGGAGTAGTTGATTTTGTAGCCTGCGATGTTCCCAAATCTGTCTAGTAGTTGTGTCAGGTGGTGCAGAGAGTCCAGTGGGTCCCGGAGTGTTAGCATGACATCATCGGCATATGCAGAGACTATGAATGGTGTGCCGCCTATCTCTATTCCCTGAATGTGTGGGTGTTGCCTGATGGCTTGTAAGAGCGGCTCTAGGGTTAGGGCGAAGAGCAAAGGGGACAATGGGCATCCCTGTCTGGTGCCATTGCTTAGGGTGAATGGCTGTTTGTGTGCCCCTGTTATAAGTGTTTGTGCCCTCAGGTCTGTATAGAGTGCGTGTATTGCTGTCACAAATGGTTCCGGGAACCCCTGGAACCGGAGCAGCTCAAAGAGGTAAGGCCATAGCACCCTATCAAAAGCCTTCTCTGCATCTAAAGAGAGTGCTAGAGAAGGCGCTTTGGTCTCCGCCATGTACCACAGGGCGTCTACCCCCCGTCTGGTGTTCTCGTATAGTTGGCGTCCGGGCATAAAGCCCACCTGGTCCGGGTGGATCAGGCGCGGGAGTAGGGAGGAGAGTCTGGATGCTAGTATTTTAGCAAATACCTTGAGGTATGTATTGATAAGTGATATTGGCCGGTAGCTAGAGGCTAGTGTGTCATCCTTATCTGGTTTTGGCAGTAGTACTACATTTGCCGTCGCCATGTCCCCCGTCGGGCACCCCGCCTTGCATAAAGTGGTTACTAAGGGCTGTAAGGGGAGGGGCCAGTATCTCTTTGAATTGTTTGTAGTAGTTAACATCGTATCCATCTGGACCTGGGGCCTTGTTTCCCTTAAGTGATGCTATGGCTGATTCCACCTCGATTTGGGTGATCGGTTCACTTAGGAAGCCTGCTTCTGCCTCGCTCACTTTGTGCAGTGTAAGTTCTGCAAGAAATTGTTGTATGTCCGCCACGTAGGTGGTGTTATTGGCGTGAAGGCAGGGGGAGTGATTGTAGAGGTTGGAGAAATAGGAGGTGAATACCTTGTTAATGGCCTCTGGGGTCTCTACTAGCGTATCGTTGACCGTGCGTATTTTCGTGATGGTTTTGCCCTGTGGCCTCGGGCAGAGAACCCTTGCTAAAAGTGTGTCTGTTTTATTTGCTTTCTCGTAGTAGAGTCTTTTTGACCATTGTATGGAGCGTGACACCGCCTCCAGGGATATGTCCCTGATGGAGTGTCTGAGTGCGTTTAGTTCTCTGAGTTTGGATTCAGTCGGGTTGGTTTTGTGCTGCTGCTCTGCCTTACGTAGGGCTGACTGTAGTTCGAGTAGCCTTTTTGTTTTAGCTCGCTTTTTATGCGTTGCAATTTTTATAAAGTGCCCGCGCAGGACTGCTTTGTGTGCTGCCCAGACCGTGGTGGGGTTGGCGTCGGGTGTTGCGTTTAGCGCAAAATATTCTGTGATAGCCTGTCGGGTAGTTTCTAGTGTTTCGTCGTCTCTGAGAAGACTAGTATTACGTTTCCACGACCAGTTGGACTGGTATCGCAGGTTGCCTAGGGTGAGCGTTACGTCAGCGTGATCTGACCATGTGATGCTACTGATGTCTGTGTGTAGGACCTTATCCATCCCCACCCCGTTTAGGAAAATGTTATCTATTCTGGAGTAGGTGTTGTGCGGTGCGGAATAAAATGTGTAGTCAGATGTGGTCGGGTGCTGTAGTCGCCATACATCCAGTAGGCGCGTGTGTGCCAAAAATGCGTGTAGCACTTTGTCTTGTCCCCCTCTGCCCTGAGATCTCACAGTGCCAGGTTTTGAGCTTCTGTCCGATGCTGGGCTTGGCACGGCGTTGAAGTCGCCCCCTACCAGCAAACCCCCCCCCCGGCTCCGGCCACCAGCACCTCTAGGCTCTCCCAGAACTGCTGGTCCAGCTCGTTGGGCGCGTAGACGTTGATGAGATGTATTTTTGTGGTGTAGAGGGTGCCTCCTATATATATAGAAATCTCCCCTCCGGGTCAGTCTGGGTGGTAGTTATTTGTAGCGGGCAGTTTTTATGGATGAGGATCGCCACCCCCGGTCGCTTACGGAGGGAGCGTGCCTCATGTACTGTCGAGTAGGTCCTGTCAGTCAGTCTAGTGGGCGCCGACCTGCGGAGGTGCGTCTCCTGTATCAGTGCGATATCTATTTTCTTGGTCTTTAAGTCTCTCGCTAGTAATCTCCGTTTGTTTGGGGAATTTAGGCCTTTGACGTTAAACGATAGTACCTTAAGAGCCATGTGGAGGTGTTGGCTGTGTTGCTAGTGTTACCGGTGCTCTGGGTATCCGGGGTCTGTTGTGCGCACTGTGTGTGGGGCCTGGCGTGGGAGTTACCCTCGGTGACGCGGGCGGCATCCAGACGGTGTAACGGAGTTGGAGATCAGTACTTGTCATTAGAAAGAGTGAGAAAAAAGGAAAATGAGTAACAAGGAACAATTTCAATGTACATACAAATAAACATGAAAAATAAACATAAGGTAATAATCTGGTCTTAACCTGTGCCAGATTAGGGTGGGGGTGGTCACCCCTCCCGAGTGATGTGAGAAAGTGCACCTCTCGGGGTTGGTGATCTCCCAGCGCCCTTCCACTGTGATGTTGTACACAACCAGCGACCGCATACCTTTTACAGTCTGGTTTGTCCCATTTAAAGAGAGGTGGTCTTGCCTTTGTCTCTCCTTGGGTTGCACAGTGTGTGCGCCCCTCTCTCCCACTGTGAGCTAATTTTGTCCTCCCTACCTTCGTCTGTGTGGGAGCCTTCCCCTCCTGCTGTGCTTAGTGGCTGTGTGCCGTCCCCTCCTACTAGCCCCACTCCCTCCTCCCCTCTCCCGCCCTTCTGTCAAGTGTGCTAACCCATGTTCTTGCCCTTTGATGGGCGCGTTATCTGTGTTGTGTTTTTATTTTTTTAGTTATTTGGTGTGTTGTAGCCCCCAGGGGTTGCTCTATGTCTTGATGGTTTCATCTGCTTGTCCCCAGTACTAAGGCAGCATAGTGTGTCATCCAGCCCCCCTCCCCCCACCAGGGCAGTTTGTGATCCCCCTAAATACTCAATTGCCTGGTGTGGTGCCCCCCTCAAATCAACTTAGCTGTCCCGTGCATCTATCGTGCCGCCAGAGTCACTGTGGGTGCCCCTTTTGGGCTGAGCAGATCTGCGTGGTGCCTTAGTCCTCCTGGGCAGCCGTTGCTGCGACTGTGTACCAGTCTCTTGGGAGAGGTGTTAGGGTCCGCCGAGCGGGTCCTGGTAAGGCGAAAGCTCTCGGGGGTGTGATATCCAGGTCATGGAGACATTTTCGTGGGTCCCCTCCAGGTGAGTATGTGAGTGTTCTTCCCGCTTTGAAAGCCACAATTTTAAACGGGTGGCCCCACGTGAAGCGGATTTCGTGTTGTCGCAGAAGATCCGGCAGCGGTCTCCATTCACGCCGTCTTTGAAGTGTGCTTGGTGCTAGATCTTGATAGAGAGAAATGGGCTTGCCTTTGTATGTTAAATCGTGATTTCTGTTGTACCTCAGAATAGCCTCCTTGGTGGTATAGTGGTGAAAGCAAATTATTATATCTCTTGGGGTGTCCGTGTCCACCCGCCGGGCGCGCAGAGCCCTGTGTGCCCGGTCCATGGCCCACTGGGCTATTGGGATGTCTGGGAGTAGACCGCTAAAGTATGCCTCCACTAGTGCTGTGAGAGGGCCTTCATTAGGTGTTTCAGGCCACCCTCTGATGCGGAGGTTATTCCGCCTGGTGCGGTTGGACAGGTCTTCAACCTGCATTTCCAGGTCAATAATGTGGTGGTCTAGGGAGGTGGAGTGCTGCCACTTCGTTATGGCCCTGTACCAGTACCTCCATTCTCTGCTCCAGCTCTGAAGTACGGACGCCCAAGGCTTGGATTTCGGCCTTTATGTCTTGCGTGCTGCGTGTAATTTCACCCGCCAGGTATGTCTTTACTTCTGCTAACCTCTGCAGAATTTGTACCGTGCTGCCGCCGCCTGGCTCCGTCTGTTCCCCGTCCGGTGGGGATTGAGAGCCTCGCGCGCCCGTCCGGCGGCCATCTTGTGGGGCCTGTGCAGGTCGCGAGGCCGTGAACATGTCGGCCACTGAGGGGGAGAAATCAAGCGGTTCCCTGCGTTTCTTCCGGCGTGGGGTGGCTCCGGCGCCCGTGTGGGACATGTATAGGGAAAATGCAGGCTGTGATGCTGGTTACTGGTGCTGGATTGAGCGTGGATGCGCGGGAGCTCACTCGTTAGGCTGCCATTCTAGTCGGCTGCCAGGCCACGCCCCCCATTATATATTATGTTTTAAAGACATCGGCAACACATTGAATGCACCTTTAGAATCTTGAGTTGACAGGGACTGAACATGTTGGAACTTGTCATCACTATAGGTAAATGAAGATTTTGCATTAGGAAAATATAGCGCTGACTGTTTAGTAGTACTTGCTGAGATAAGTCGCCAACAAGTGCAGGTTTATTAAACATTTGAAAAGTGAAAGGCTTGGTGTATATGTGTGCTGCTGGATTGACAAGACCTCTAACCAGCTGCTGCATGTTACCTGTAAAATGCGTTCCATCACTAATATGTCAGCATTCCATCCCAACCGTCTTCCTAACACAATTTTTTACCTGCCAATATTGAGAGACATATTAACCAAACATCCCAGTCATAAGATGGGAGGAATCATTTTGCTGGCTTCCACGCTATATCATTACCCTCAAAGTCCCTTCCCTGATGCGGGAAGAGATGAGGGGTCATATGTTCCATTTGGTTAATAATGGGTCCCGAGGCAATGATGGGCACCATGTAAGTCTGGATCCAGGTTTTAGGTCTTAAATATTTTGTTTTGTTTTTTTTAGTTACATCTTATTACTCAAAATAATCCCCAAGAAACCAATACAAGTAATTAGTGATTAATTTCACAAAAAGTCCTCATGTTATTTTAGTATTTATTGTTTTCATTTCGTTATCTCTGCAATTCCAGACAAGTATGCAACATAGTATACCCACAAAACATAGCTCCCAATATTAGGAGTTATGAAATAAGAACTTGTAGGGGAAAGGAACAGAATGTGGACGTGCTAGTTATAGAATATGTACCATTGGTGATTTAAACTGACAGGCAGCCTTGCAAACCTGTCACCCAAGGATGCCCATATGTACAGCCAGAGACCTACTGTTTTGTTCTAGCAGGCAGAGAAATAACTTGTTTTAGCTTTGCACAACGAGAACATGATAAATGATGTGCTCTACGGGAACTTTGCTCCAGTTTACCAATAAGTGAATTTAAAAGCATTTATATTTCAGAGGTATATTCTTGAGTACATAATTTTGATTTTTGAGACCTGAGCAAGTATTAATTAAAGGGCAAGCTATAGAGATGTCTTTAAGCTTTTATCCATTCTCAGGGTTCTCATATTCTCTGTTTTTGCTTCAGTGTAATTTTCTTACCAGGGCTAGAGAAGATATATATATGTTGTCCTGTTATTTAGACCCTGAAGAAAAGTCCCGAACTGGGACTGAAACGTTGGTCGTTTTTTAACACTATACAATAAAATTTTTTTGATTTATAAGTCCGGTGAGCAGCCACTTCTTTTTGCTATTTGTGTCTATTGGAGCTCTGGCGTATGTACCCGGCGTTGGGAACAAGTAAGCGTGAGTGCAGGGGTTTTTCTATTTTATATATATATATATATATATATATATATATATATATAGTCATTCAAAGCATTAAAACCACCTGCCGGAAATCGGGTAGGTTCCGCTCAGATTGTCAAACTAGCTCTGATACTTCGAAGCATGGAGTCCACCCATAAGACCTTTGAATGTTTCATGTGGTATCTGGCATCAGTACACTAGCAGCAGATCCATTAAATCCTGCAAGTTGCGAGGTGGGGTCATGGATGGGATATGTTGTTCCTGCACATCCCACAGATGCTCAATTGGATTGAGATTTGGAGAATTTGGAGACCAAGGCAACACCTTAAACTTTTTGCAATGTGGCAGGGTGCATTATCCTGCTGAAAGAGTCCACTGCCATCAGGGAACACCATTGCCATGAAGGAGTGCCATGGCTTGCAACAATTTTTAGGTAGGTAGTACATGCCTGAGCAGTGGGTGGGGGCCCTAAATACTAATAGGGGGGGGACCTAATGTCCTCCTCCCTGAGCGATGGGTGGGGGCCCTAAATACTAATTAGGGGGAAAACTAATTTCCCCCCCGAGTGGCGGGTGGGGGCCCTAAATTAGAATGAGGGGGGAGGACCCCTAATGCTCAGGGGTGGGGGCCCTAAATACTAATTGGGGGGGACCTAATGTCCTCCCCCTGGTCCCCACCCCTGAGCGGTGGGTGGAGGCCCTAAATACTAATTGGGGGGACCTAATGTCCTCCCCCCTGGCCCCCACCCCTAAGCGGTGGGTGGGGGCCCTAAATACTAATTGGGGGGGACCTAATGTCCCCCCCCCGAGCGGTGGGTGGGAACCCTAAATACTAATTAGGGGGGGACCTAATGTCATCCCCCTGGCCCCCACCCCTGAGCGGTGGGTGTAGGCCCCTAAATTAGAATGAGGGGGGGATCTAATGTCCTCCCCCCTGAGTGGTGGGTGGGGGCCCTAAATACTAATTAGGGGGTGGACCTAATGTTCCCCCCCCTGAACGGTGGGTGGGGGCCTTAAATTAGAATGAGGGGGGAGGACCTAATGTCCTCCCCCCTGAGCGGTGGGTGGGGGCCCTAAATACTAATTGGGGGGGACCTAATGTCCTCCCCCTGGCCCCCACCCCTGAGCGGTGGGTGGGGGCCCTAAATACTAATTAGGGAGGGGACCTAATGTCCTCCCCCCTGGCCCCCACCCCTGAGCGGTGGGTGGGGGACCTAAATACTAATTAAGGAAGGGACCTAATGTCCTCCCCCCTGAGCGGTGGGTGGGGCCCTAAATACTAATTACGGTGGGGACCTAATGTCCTACCCCCTGGCCCCCACCCCTGAGCGGTGGGTGGGGGCCCTAAATTAGAATGAGGGGGGAGGACCCAATGTCCTCCCCCCGGCCCCCACCCCTGAGCGGTGGGTGGGGGCCCTAAATATTAATTAGGGGGGGGCCTAATGTCCTCCCCCCTAACCCCCCTCCCGCAGGTGACTAGAGGTCCCCAAACCCCTAGTCACCCCCCTCCCCCAAAAAATTAACCCCTACCTACCCCACTCACCCTAAAAATTATGAGGGGGGGACCATTTAACTAAGTACCTGTAAAAAAATGTAAATAAACTTACCATTTGATGTTTTCTTTCTTCTAAAATCTTCTTTTTTCAGCCCCCAAAAAAGGCCAAATAAAAATCCATAATAAACAACGCAAGTAAGGTAAGTCTCTACATTTACCTGTCACAGCACTCTGATTGGTTAGTTTGAAATCCACCAATCAAAGTGCTCTGTGTCCTTTTACACAGCGTGGGAAAGTTCTTTGGAATTTTCTCACGCTGTGTAATTTGACTCATAACTCTCTGATTGGTTACTTAATCCACCAATGAGTGTTATGAGTCAAATTACACAGCGTTGGAAAATTCCATAGAACTTCCCCACACTGTGTAAAATGACACTGAGCACTCTGATTGGTGGATTTCAAGCCAACCAATCAGAGTGCTGTGACAGGTAAATATAGAGATTTACCTGTCAGTCTCTTCATTTACCTGTCAGAGCACTCTGATTGGATGGCTTTTTTTGCGCTTGTTTTATTTATTTTTTTAAAGCGTCTATTATTATGGATTTTTATTTTGGCTTTTTTTGGGGCTGAAAAAAGAAGATTTTAGAAGAAAGAAAACATCAAATGGTAAGTTTATTTTTTTACAGGTACTTAGTTAAATGGTCCCCCCTCATTATTTTTAGGGTGAGTGGGGTAGGTAGGGGTTAATTTTTGGGGGGAGGGGGTGACTAGGGGTTTGGGGACCCCTAGTCACCTGCGGGAGGGGGGGTTATTTTTTTATTTAGGGCCCCCACAGTACCCAAATGTTCGAATTACCCGAAATTAGTCTGAATACATATTCGGCCCGAAACGAATTGCACATGTCTAATCTACATGATTATCAGGTACCAGCAGCGGTTTCCCATCAGAACATTGCCCAGAGCATAACACTGCCTTCATCAGCCTTCCTTCTTCCAACAGTGCATCCTGCTGCCATCACTTCTAAGGTAAATGTCGCACCCGGTTATCCATCTTGTCCAGCTTCAGCATTCTGAGCTACAGTAGCTCTTTTGAGTGATTGGACCAGATAGACTAGCCTTCACTCTCCCATGTGCATCAATGAGCTTTGGGCAGCCATGACCTTGATGCCGGTTCACCGGTTGTTCTTGCACCACCTGTTGTTCTTCCTTGCACCACTGCATACCAGGAACTCATTTCAAGCAGTTTTGAACCCAGTCTGACGCAGTCATCTAGCCATCACTAGTTGGCTCTTGTCAAAGAACTAACTGTTTACTTGCTGCCTAATATAGCCCATCCCATGACAAATGCCATCATAATGATATAATGAATCCTATTCACTTCATCTGTCGGTGGTTTTAATGTTGGCTTATTAGAATATATATATATATATATATATATATACACACATGGGCATCCGCAGGAATTTTTCCAGAGGTGGTGGGGGGGGGGCATAATTGTAATGACATCCATGCTTAGTCCCTTTTTGATAGTGTCATGAAAGGGAAGGGGCATAGTCATTATCACATAAAGCCAATGGGAATAGCGTTTTCACAACTATGGTGTCAGGAATACATGTTTGTATTCCTGACACTATAGTGTTCCTTTAAGCAAATTAAAGGAACATTCTGGTCACCATAACAACTTAATCTAAATGAAGATGCTATGATGCCAGGAAGCCCCTGGGTGCTCTCTTTCCTTTAAGGGGTTAAACCGCTCTCAAATGGTTTAACCCCAAAGACTTCCTCCAGTTCCAGATCTCCAGGTATCTCAGTGGTATATGGCTTCTGAAACAGAGTGTGACGTCAGGCATGGCTAGAGTGGTCTGATCCCTTTCTGCTCCTTGCAGACCCTTTCTGCTCCTTCTCCTACTTTACCTTTGTGCTCCTTACTACCCTTTTCTGCTCCTTCTCCTACTTTACCTTTGTGCTCCTTCTGATTCTTTCTGCTCCTTTACCTTTGTGCTCCTTCTGTCCCTTTCTGCTCTTTGCAGACCCTTCCTTCTCCTTGCAGACCCTTCCTGCTCCTTGCAGCCCCTTACTGCTCCTTGCTGACCCTTCCTGGTAATTTCTGCTCCTTCTCCTACTTTATGTGCTCCTTCTGCCCCTTCCAGCTCATTGCTGACCCTTTCTGCTCCTTGATGTCCCTTCCTGCTAATTTCTGTTCCTTCTCCTACTTTACCTTTGTGCTCCTTCTGACCCTTCCTGCTCCTTACTGCCTTTTACAGCTTCTTGCTGACCCTTTCTGCTCCTTCTACTTACCTTCCAGCTCCTTGCTGACCCTTCCTGCTCCTTGCTGACCCTTCATTCTCCTTGCTGGCCCTTCATTCTCCTTGCTGGCCCTTCCTGCTCCTTGCTGCCCCTTCCTGCTTCTTGCTGCCCCTTCCTGCTCATTTATGTTCCTTTGTGCTCCTTTCCCTACTTTACCTTTTGTGCTCCTTGCTGCCCCTTTCTGCTCCTTGATGTTCCTTCCTGCTCATTTCTGTATCTACTCCTTTCTGCTCCTTCTCTTACTTTATCTTCCTGCTCTTTGCTGACCCTTCCTGTAGGCTGCCCCCCATCCCCTCCCCCATGCCTCACTCCCCTGATCTATAGGCTGCCCCCATGCCTCACTTCCCTGATCTATAGGCCGCCCATGCCTCACTTCCTGATCCCCATGCCTCACTTGATCTATAGGCTGCCCCCATGCCTCACTTCCCTGATCTATAGGCTGCCCCCATGCCTCACTCTCTGATTTATAGGCTGCCCCCCATGCCTCACTTACCTGATCTATAGGCTGCCCCCCATGCCTCACTTCCCTGATCTATAGGCTGCCCCCCATGCCTCACTTCCCTGATCTATAGGCTGCCCCCCCATGCCTCACTTCCCTGATCTGTAGGCTGTCTCTGCATTCTGGGAGTTGCTGGCTACATGTGCTGCTCCCCTGCGGATTCAGTCAGAGAGAAGCAGGGATAAGATGTAGCTTCCTATCCCTGTCTCTCTCCATACACCGGTATTGCACTGTATTATCAATCTCACACAAAAATAGCAGAACAAGCTGAAAAATCCAGGGGGACGCCTATGCTTCATATTCCTCCTGTCCAGAAACAACCAATCGGGGAGGGGGAACACTTGGGACAGTATACCTATTGCAAATAAGTGGTTTGAGCAAGGAAACATGAAAGGTATTAGGAATACGTAAGGAGGCAGGAAGTGTCAGAGAATAGAAAACAAGATTAATTCTTAGAATGATACGAAATGGACCAAGGAATCTTGGGGAAAACTTAATGCTAGGAACTTTTAGTTTGATGTTGCGCGATGATAACCACACCCTCTCACCCACTTGGTAAACAGGGTTGACACCCCGTAGTTTATCAGCATGAAATATGAAACGAGCAACCGCAGTTTCGAGAGAGGAGTGAACTTTGGTCCAAGTTTCACGAATAGAAGTAAGGTGATCATCCAGAGCAGGGATTGCTGTGTCAGTAGAACAGTAGGATGATAACCATTATTAACAAAGAATGGACTATGTCCGGAAGAGTCATGGGTAGCATTGTTCCTAGCAAACTCAGCCCAGGGTAATTTGGACCAATTATCTTGTGTGCCATTAACAAAACAACGCAAATACAATTCCAGTGACTGGTTAGTCCTCTCAGCTGTGCCATTGGTTTGGGGATGGTAGGAAGAAGAAAATGACAATTCAATGCCCAACTGTTTATTGAAAGCCATCCAAAACAGAGACAGAAACTGAGAACCTCTGTCAGATACAATATTGTGAGGAATGCCATGTAGTCTGACAATTTCTCGTATAAAAATAAGAACCAGGTGAGGATGGCAGTTTTTTGAGTGAAACAAAATAAGCCATCTTGGAAAAGCGGTCAACCACCATAAGGATGGTGGTATAGCCATTAGAACTAGGAAGTTCTATGATGAAATTAATGGACAAATGGGACTATCGAACACTAGGTACAGGAAGTGGATGCAATAATCCACATGGAAGTCTATAAGGAACCTTAGAAACTGCACAAACTGAACAGGCTTGCACATATTCCTTGACATCTTTCCTGAGAGAATCCCACCAAAATGATCTCAGGATAACGGTTATGGATTTATTAATGCCTGGATGCCCAGCAGTCACGTTGTTGTGGACCACCCTCATTACATTATCTCTTTCAATCAATGGAACAAACTATTTATCTGAGGTTTATTGCAAGGTGCCTGAGACTGGGCCTCCATGATAGCACCAAGCAGAGGGGATGACAAGGAAAGACTAGTGGAAGCAATGATACACTCAGTTGGAACAATAGGGGATGTCTCTTGTCCCTGTACTGATTCAGTGTCAAACTGTTTAGATAAGGCATCCGCTTTCACATTTTTGGGATCAGGTCTGTAAGTTATAATAAAGTTAAAGCGAGATAAGAACAAAGACCATCTAGCCTGTCTATAAGACAGTCATTTAGCATCACCTATATAATGTCACCATTCTTTAAGTGCTAGTATAATGGCCAACAATTTCTTTGTTACCAATATCATAATTATGCTCAGCTGGAGACAACTTTCTAGAGAAGTACCCACACAGATACAAAGACGTATTCTGAGAAAGAACAGCCCCCACCGCCACCGTTGTTCGTAGCTCTTCAATACCTTTCATGTGCGTTTTCCCGTCTATCCGAGAGGCTTTGCAGTCCAAGCCTTCGTCTCATGGCATACTCTCTAAGTCTTTGTGGACCGCGTAATGTTATTTCCGTTTCCTGGTCGAAGCCTGCAGACTTGCGTTCCACCGTGGGAATTAAGGAGTTATCTACCAAAAGGCTGAAAGAACTAAATTGGTCTTTCAGACAAATTTACTAATACTAAGTAAAAATTAGCCTGTGGCTGCTCACTGTTTAAAAAAAATAAGGTCCCCCCTCCCGCAACGCACGAGTGGGTGCTTTTAAACTAAAGGGGGAACTTATTGCCCCCCCCTGCCCCTGAGCGGCAGGTGGGGGCCCTAAGGTAATTGATGGGGGGGTATATGATGGGAGTTATCTACTAAAAGGCTGAAAGAATTAAATTGGTCTTTCTGCCAAATTTACTAATACTAAGTAAAAATTATTTAGTATTAGTAAATTTTGCCCCTACTGGCTATACCGCGAGTAGGGGCATGTCTAGTAAACAGTGAGCAGCCTGTGGCTGCTCACTGTTTAAAAAAAAAAAATAGGGTCCCCCCTCCCGCGACGCGCGCGTGGGTGCTTTTAAACTAAAGGGGGACCTATTGCCCTCCTCCCTGAGCGGTGGGTGAGGGCCCTAAATTGGAATAGGGGGGGGGACCTAATGTCCTGCCCCCTGAGCGGCATGTGGGGAACCTAAATACTTATAAGGGGAGGACCTGTAAGTAAAAATATCTAATGGTAAGTTTTATTTTTTTACAGGTACTTAGTTAAAGGTCCCCCCATCATTATTTTTAGGGTGAGGGGGATAGGTAGGGGGTTGATTTTTTTTTGGGGGGGGAGGGGGTAACTAGGGGTTTGGGGACCCCTAGTCACCTGGGAGGGGGGGGGGTTAACTTTTTTTTAGTTAGGGGTGGGGGCTGGGGGTGGGGGCTGGGGGAGGACAATAGGTCCCCCCCACATTGGTATTTAGGGCCAGGACATTAAGTCCCCCCCTTATTCCAGTTTAGGGCCCCCACCCCTGAGGGGTATATGGCGGTTATGTGTTCTTTTTCAGTCTATATACCATGTTGCCGTTCATCCAAGGGCAGATGTCCATGTTTTCTTGTTACTATCTATCTTACTATTATTATATTATATTATACTGCAGTTTGAGGGACCCTGAGGTACTTCCCCAGCTGTATAATGTCTGCCTGGCTCATTGTTTGCTCCATAGGAGGAGTGTGGGCTTGTTTATCTCTTTACACAGAGACACTCCATGAACACCACCTCCCCGGTGGCCGGTAGGTCCTCGCAGTGTGCCAGGCGGCTCCATCACTCACACACAGCTCTGCCATGGCAACACGGGATGGGCCTTGCCTCAGCTGACCTTTGGCATTACCAGCGGTGCATGCCGGGAGCTCGAGCCAGCCCGCAGCCAGTGCCATGGCAACCCGGGAAGCGGAACGACTTATCGCGAGACCGAGCTGGTGGCGCGAACTGCAGGTCCCGCCCCCGTGACATCGCGCGCCTGAGAGTGCGGCTGCTGTGTGCGTGCTATCAGTGTGCTCAGTGTGCATCATCTCCCGCCAGGCATGGTGACTGAGAGCAAGGGGCAGCCCGGCCAGAGCAGGAACCTGCCATGGTATGAGACCGAGTGTGACCGCCTGGGGCTGACATTACTGTGCTTCTAGTGCGGTCTGTGCTCTGTGACAAGCATCGTATATAGGGAGGGGAGAGGGTTACTACTCTGTATTGTGTCCCTCCTTGTAATACGGGGGGACCATACTGCCCCTTTAATTATTGCTCCATATTGTGGCCCTATAAGGGGGGATCATGCTGCCCCTTTAATTATTGCTCCATATTGTGGCCCTATGAGGGGGGATCATGCTGCCCCTTTAATTATTGCTCCATATTGTGGCCCTATGAGGGGGGACCATACTGCCCCTTTAATTATTGCTCCATATTGTGGCCCTATGAGGGGGGACCATACTGCCCCTTTAATTATTGCTCCATATTGTGGCCCTATGAGGGGGGACCATACTGCCCCTTTAATTATTGCTCCATATTGTGGCCCTATGAGGGGGGATCATGCTGCCCCTTTAATTATTGCTCCATATTGTGGCCCTATGAGGGGGGACCATACTGCCCCTTTAATTACTGCTCCATATTGTGGCCCTATGAGGGGGAACCATACTGCCCCTTTAATTATTGCTCCATATTGTGGCCCTATGAGGGGGGATCATGCTGCCCCTTTAATTATTGCTCCATATTGTGGCCCTATGACGGGGGACCATACTGCCCCTTTAATTATTGCGCCATATTGTGGCCCTATGAGGTATGAGGGGGGACCATGCTGCCCCTTTAAATGGTTACTCCAACATTTCAGTTTAAGTTGTTGTTAGAATAATGGTTCCCCTTTACCCCTAGAAAAAGGAAAACAAAGTAATATATAAGATTTTATTGACCGTTTCGTTCAGGTGTATTTTAGCATATTTTATTTTTTGCTGGAAGATAGATGTCTGCTACACGGATAAAAGACTAAAAATAGTCTGCTACGTGGGAAAAACAATACAATAAATAAATTAACCCCTTAAGGACGGAGCCAAATGTACACGTTGTGAACAAAACAAAATGTAAACAAAACCTGGCATTTGCGCTACATGTCTGTCCAACCATAATTCACCTCTTTTATAGTAAATGCACCCACCCTTATTATATATCATTTTATTCAGGGGAAACAGGGCTTTCATTTAATATCAAATATTTAGCTATGAAACATAATTCTAATATGAAAAAAATGGGAGAAAATACTTTTTTTTTCTTTTTAGTTCTACATGACATTTTAACCGTCAATGTCATAATACTGTTTGCTTTTACTGCAATAAAATACACATATTTGTATTCAGTAAAGTCTCACGTGTAAGACAGTACCCCCTATGTACAGGTTTTATGGCGTTTTGGGAAGTTACAGGGTCAAATATAGCATGTTACATTTGAAATTGAATTAGCCAGATTGGTTACTTTGAGATTGTATAGTAAAGTCTGTGAATGACTATCTATACGTGGCGAGAATTATTTCATTGCAGACAATCCAAGGTATTGCAATGGATATATGTTCCGCCTTTTTAGTAGTTATTTGGTCACAAACACTGGCCAAAAGCTAGTATTTGCTCTGTGTGTGAAAATGCAAAAAACGCCCAATTTTGCTGTAGTGTCGTGACCAAGTGGCTACCAAAAAAAAAGACTGGACATACCCCGTTTGCAATACTGTTGTCTACTATTGCAAAATGGTATGCCATCATAGGTAATTTCATTCTTGGGCTACCATAGGTCTCAAAGGCAAAGTAACCAATCTGGGAGAATTTTAATGTGAAAATGAAACGCAAGTCTTATATTTGACGCCAGGTCTTTAGAAAATCAATTATAAAAACCTGTATATTTAAGGCAATTGTTGTAATTGGAGATTTAGCGAATAAATATTTAGCTTAAAACAGTAAAGTATCGCAGCAATAATATCGTTCGCAAGTGCCGCTGCGCGGAAAATGCAAAACCGGCTACTTTTATGGCTACTTACCACGTTGTAATACTTTTACCGTTTTGAAACACTAATATTTGTGTTCAGCGAAGTTCCTGAGTAGAACAGTACCCCCCATGTATAGGTTTTATGGTGTCTTGGAAAGTTATAGGGTTAAATATAGTGCTAGCAAATTAAATTCCCTTTACTTTCGGCATGGGTTGTCAGGCAGGTCCCGCTAATTGTAATTAATTAAGATACCTAATTATGTAAAAATATTACATAAATATATATGTAGAATTAATATATGTATGTGTGTATGTATATATATATATATATATATATATATATATATGTATATATCTATATAATTTGTATTTATATATAGGTATAAATATATATATATATATAGTGATATATACGTATATATTTATGTATATAGATATAATTTCGTTCTACGTGTATTTTGATATAGATATATATATTAATTTCACAATACAGTTAGAATGAAATAACACACATCAATATATTTTTTAATTATTTATTTTTAATTCTTTTTTTAATTTTATTTTTTAACGTATTTACATTTTTATTTTTTTATATTATATATAGATATATATAACAATAATTATATATTGAATCAGTATCAGTCTGTAATTTTATATTAAAAAAAAAAAAAAAATATATATATATATATATATATATATATATATATATATATATATATATATATATATATATATATATATATATTAATAGTAAAATACACCTAGACGGTGTACGTGTGTGTATAACAATAATTATATATATATATATATATTGTATCAGTCTACGTGTAATTTGATATTAATAAATATATATATTAATAGTAAAATACACCTAGACTGTGTACGTGTGTGTATGTATATTTGTGTATATATATACTTAGATCATATATATATATATATAGATATATATATATATGTATGTATGATCTAAGTATATATTATTATTTTTTTTACACTATTTATTTAATTTAATTTTCAGCCAGCAGGGGGACCACCTGTCATTACAGGCAGCCCCCCTGCTGGCAATGCTGCAGCCAGCTACCCCCGGCCATGTGATTGTGGGGTCCTCGCAAGGACCCCACTCTCACATGGCTGGGGGCTTCCAGGACATCGGAGGTGCCGCGGGGGGCTCCCTGGGAGTCCCCCAAACCGCACGCTGGCAACCGGGTAAGTACAGCAAGACCGGAGGGCGTACTATTACGCCCGTCGGCGTTTAGAGCCGCTTAGAATAGGACGTAATAGTACGCCCTCCGGTCTTAAGGGGTTAAATATGATCAATTATTAACCCCTTCAGGACAGAGTCAATAGTGCACGTTCTGATCAAAACAAAACGTAAACAAAAACTGGAATTTGCGCTATATGTCTGTTCAACCGTAATTCACCGCTGTCACATTAAGTGCACCCACACTTATTATATATCATTTTGTTCAGGAGAAACAGGGCTTTAATTTATCATTAAAGGCCCTGTTCAGCTTAATGAAGTGGTCTGGGTGCCAGGTCCCTCTAGGGTTAACCCATTTTTTTCATAAACATAGCAGTTTCAGAGAAACTGCTATGTTTGTGAATGGGTTAAGCCTTCCCCCTAATCCTCTAGTGGCTGTCTCATTGACAGCCACTAGAGGCGCTTGCGTGCTTCTCACTGTGATTTTCACAGTGAGAGCACGCCAGCGTCCATAGGAAAGCATTATGAATGCTTTCCTATGTGACCGGTTGAATGCGCGCGCAGCTCTTGCCGCGCGTGCGCATTCAGCCGACGGGGAGGAGAGAAGGAGGATCGGAGGAGGAGAGCTCCCCGCCCAGTGCTGGAAAAAGGAGAGCTCCCCTTTTCCCCTTTCCAGAGCTGGGCGGGAGGGGGTCCCTGAGGGTGTGGGCACCCTCAGTGCACTATAGTGGTCCTTTAACTATTCATATATGGAACATAATTTATTATGAATAAAAAAAAAAATGTGAGAAAATAAGATTTTGTTTTTTTCATTTGTATTTCCGTCTGACATTTTAGCTGTGAATGTCATAATAATGTTATGTTTTACTGCAAAAAAAATGCACATATTTGTAATCAGCGATGTCTCACAAGTACAACAGTACCCCCCATTAACAGGTTTTATGGTGTTTTGGAAAGTTACAGGGTCAAATATAGAACGTTCCATTTTCAAATTTAAATTTGCCAGATTAGTAATGTTACTTTTGAGACGGTGTGGTAGCCTAGGAATGAGAATTACACCCATAATGGCATACCATTTGAAAAAGTAGACAACCCAAGGTATTGAACGTGGGGTATGTTTAGTCTTTTTTAGTAGCCACTTAGTCACAAACACTGGCCAAAGTTAGCGTTCATATTTGTTTTTGTGTGAAAAAAAGCAAAAAAAAACAATATTTGGCCAGTGTTTGTGACTAAGTGGCTACTCAGAAAGACTGGACATACCCCACTTGCAATACCTTGGGTTGTCTACTTTTGCAAATGGTATGCCATCATGGGGGTAATTCTCATTCCTGGGCTACCATATGCTCTCAAAGGCAACATAACCAATCTGGCAAATTTCAATGTCAAAAAAATGAAATGCAAGCCTGATATGTGACTTCTAACTTTCCAAAACACCATAAAACCTGTAGTTGATGGGGGTACTCGTTATTCTCGGAGACTACACTAAACACAAAATTAGTGTTTTAAAACAGTAAAACATATTACAACAATAATATAGTGCATAAAAGTGCCGCTTGTTTGCAAAAATAAAAAAAAGTCATTTACTTAAAGTATCATTGAAACACTAATTTCAGTTCAGCTTAAGTCTTCCAAGTAAAACAGTACCCCTATGTACAGGTTTTATGGTGTCTTTGAGAGTTACAGGGTCAAATATAGTGCTTATGAATTAAATTCTGCACTTTCTCCCTGTGTTGTCAGGCATGTCAATCAAATTTTAATTAATCAAATTACATATTTTATGTTAAAAGATTACTTAAATATACAATGTAGAATTTTAATATATATGCATTTATAGGTATTTAAATTCTACGTATACTAATGTAATCTTTTGCGTAATATATATATATATATATATATATATATATATATATATATATATATATATATATATATAATCATTCTTAAAAACAGTTAGAATGAAATTACAAATGAATATATAATTTATATAAAATTTAGTTTCAATATTTTATTTATTGTAATTATGTGTGTGTATATATGTAACGTCATTCTAAGTGTATTTTAATACTAATATATGTAATTATATTAATATTAAAATACACTTTGTATGAAGTTAGATATATATATGTGTATATATAATATATATTTCTATTTTATTTTAAACATGTTTAATTCTTTTTACTTTCCCACCAGCAGGCATTTCAGACAGCCCCCCTGCTGGCAGATCCACAGCCAGCTATAGGGGGCCATGTGATTGCTCTTTGAGAGCGATTACATGGCCCCCGGGGGCCTCATTTGCCAGGGGAGGGCTGTCAGGCAGCCCTCCAGAAGACGATCGCGGCGGAGGAAAGTCCACCGGACCTCCAGGGGCAGAAAGCCGTTACGGCGTTCTATGCCGCCGCAACGGCTTTAAAGCCCTTTTAGTGTGGGACGGCATAGAACGGCGTTAAGGGTTGAAAGACTAAAAACAATACATTTTAAATATGAACAATTATTAAATTTTTCATTAACCCCTTAAGGACCAAACCTCTGGAATAAAAGGGAATCATGACATGTCACACATGTCATGTGTCCTTAAGGGGTTAAACTAAGTATGGTGGCAGGAAGACCGGTAGTTTTAAGAATTAAATTTTTACACCCAGGCAAAGTTATGCAACCAGCCGACATTACAACCAAGATTTGAAGGCTATCTCTGTTAGCATACCATCTCCCAAATCCAGACACTGCCATGATGTGGTTAGCTAGAAAGGCTTCTACTTTCTGACACCATGGACTGTGGCAATTGTAATCTGACTCGCCGGCTGATGACATACACACAAGGTTTTGATTGCGTGAGATGGAAGTGCCAAACAAGTGGATTTGTTAGAAGCATAAGAGCGGAGTCACCTGTCTCTGAAACAAATCACAATAATGATGTATTGCTTTGCACAAAATCTGACACAACTTGAAGCCAAGATTGAAAAGAAGAAAACTGTTGTTGATTGGTTCAATTTGAGGGACGAGATGTGTAATTATTTAGATCGTCATGCTACTGAGCTGGGAGGCTTTGATGATAACGGTGAACCCATAGTGGTGGAAATAGAAGAATCCAAATAAAGAATCCATTGGGTGTTTGGTGGAATTAAAAGGATGTCTGGTCGATGTTGTTTGGTGGAAGTTACAGATCGTATAGCTGCAACCGTGGATCAACTCATCTTGGATCATTTCTTACTTGGAACCCATATAATTTCTGACGGGTGGGCTGCATACCGAAACATTGATCAACTCCACAATGGAATTTATATGCATTCCGTAGTGGTCCATGAACTTAACTTTATCGATCCACGGGGCGCACAAGTGCATACACAGAACATTGAGAACTTATGGATGTGTGCGAACTAAAGCATCAATTCAGAACAAGTCGTGCATTGTTTTCTTCATTTACGGAAATTTGAGTTTCGCTCGTCTATTGAGAAACAATGTTTTCTGGGGTTTGGGAAACAAAATGCTCATCATTGCTGGGAATTATCAGGTTTAATGGGAGAGTTGTGTACCATAGGATGGACCCAGTTACTACTGTTAAGTCAGTTACTGTTGTTAATAGTTCTCATTACAATATTTTGACTGTTAATAATAAAATACGCTATTTGATTTTAGTAAAATTTAAAAAAGAATACAATACGCTAAAACACACTTTTACCAGATTTATACTTGCCTAAAGTCAGGAAAACATCATCGCAGCAGCATGAAAGCAGAAGTCACAAGCGAGGGGGGAACTAGCCCAGTCTGATACAGTATCCATGTATCCCTAGGTAAAAGATGATTGCTATAATTTAAATGGACCCGGAGGGTGGGGGGGACCTAAATACCCTATAGTGCCAGGAAAACGAGTTTGTTTTCCTGGCACTATAGTGGTCCTTTTAAAGCATTTCAGCTTGTTTAACTTTGTCATTGCAGGTTCTTGTTTTATAAAGTACCTAGTTCATGCAAAATCAAAACTTTTCTAAAGTCCCTTAGTATCACTGCCCTGGCTGTCAAGGAGGCATTTGTGAGGGTTTCTTGCCTCACTCGCTCTGAACTGTAGTTCTCTGAGAAACATTGTTGGTGTTAGTACCATTTGGCTAAGGGAAGGGGGTTTCAAGATTTTGCAGTTTAGGTAGGTGTTATGTGATGAAAGTTTTGGCCATTTAGCAATGACTTGTAAATCTATTCCTGTTTAAGTGATTATGTAATTATTAGAAAGAAATGTTATGTTGTTGATTTTGTAATATATATTACCCACAGGGTGGAAAAGTATCGACCGCAGACACTAGATGACCTGATTTCCCATCAAGATATCTTGAGTACAAGTAAGTTTGCCAAGGGCTTTTATACCTTGATTTTATTAAATGGACCTACAATGGAAAAAGTTTGGTTTAGTTTTGTTGTGCCTTTTTTTTTTTTTGTAAGGAAAATGATGTAGTATAAGACATCTTTGTATTCTGAGTTTAATAAACAGTTCACATGTCGATACCTATACTGGTCCCCTCCGATCACAAGCGAATGGCGCTTTAACTCTGAATATTTTTTTTTTCATGCTATTTTGGTCTTCCAATGGCTGGCTCCACCTCCATGGCTGAGCTAATCAATCTTGATGATCTCAGCCAAGCCAAGGCTTTCCTATAAGTGTATCTGTGGCAAAACATTGCACTATGCCAATCATCATCTCCTCAGATTACACAGTGCAGCACTGAAATCGTAAGCACCTCTAGTGGCTGTCTGATTGACTGCCACTAGAGGGGTTACTAGGCAGCATTGTAAACACTGCTTTTTATTTGCTCAGCCTGCAGGGTCATGTTATTGGCACTATAATCACTACATTAAGCAAGAGTGGTTCTGGTGACTATAGTCTCCCTTTAAGTGAAAATTGCTGTGAATTTAAAGTGATTTCTGAATTTTATTCTTTTTCAAGAGTATTCAGTTTTTAATTTTAACTATTTTGGCCTTAAATTTGAAATTCCCTTCTGAATTCCTGTAATTTCTGACTTTAGTGAATGACCCTGTCATTGTGTAAATGCAAGGGCATGTATTGGTATGTCTAGTTTGTGCATGTGGGATTGCAGAGGTGTGCGTGCACCTGTCTGCCTGCGACTGTGTGTGCGCCTGTCTGCTTGAGTGCACGTGACTGTCTGCCACTGTGCGCTTGTCTGCCTGCGACTGTGCGTGTGTGTGCCTGTCTGCGACTGTGTCACAGTATTATGTGACATACTTAGTCCGACCCTCTGTAATGCATGGGAGACAGTCTGGCACATCTTCTTCCACTTCTGTTGGCTGCATACCATAAGTAGCTGTGTTCCAAGCTCCGGTCAATCAGTGTGTTTCTGCGGATTACCAGAGGAGAAGTTGACCACTGTAAATGCCTAAGCTAACGAGACCGTTACTCATAGTCTGCACCTGGTGAAGAGGCAGACCAGATTCCCAGCACACTAGTACACGATAGATCAACATTCCCCCTTACTGCAACGTAATAGGGAAAACGGAATGAATATTTGTTTTACAATAATTATTCATTTAATAAATACCCTATACAAATATAAATATATATATATATATATATATATATATATTACACACACACACCAGTTAATAACTATATAAACATGCAACAAGGTTGTCAAACTATTTTAGCTCATCAATGGGAGATTCAAGTACAACGTATCTTTTACATAATCATGCATTATTGAAATTTATTATTTCCCTGCATTTTGTTTCATTTTTTTATTCTTTTTTGCAGTGTAGATAATTACAGATATGCCTGTGTTCAACCTGTTTTTTTTTTTTTGTTTTTTTTTTATTCACAATCTGCATAAGTTATTAAAAATGTTAATTATGTCACTTTCTGATGAGGTAAAAACTGACTATGAGAACATGTACTATCTATATTACGCAGTTCAGAGGTTTATCAGTGAAGACAAACTTCCTCATCTTCTACTGTATGGACCGCCTGGCACTGGGAAGACCTCTACTATACTAGCTTGTGCAAAGCAGCTATACAAAGACAAAGAGTTCAACTCCATGGTGTTAGAGGTATTCATAAGCATTGTTTACTAAGAAAAGACACTTAATGATGCTCCAAACCCTGACACAAAATTAAATTCACTGCTATCAGTTTAGATAAAATTACAATGTTTTATCATACTGATAGGCCACATATAGCTGTAATATATCACTTAATCTGTAACTCAAGAGCTGACCAATAGCAATTAACAGTAAAATTATAATTTTTATTGTGAGGTGCCTGCACTCTGTAACCCCTCAAATAGTGGCCTAACGTATAGATTAATGTATTTTTAGCAAGACAATACATGTAATATGTATCCTAACCCTTATCTTTTGCAGAAACTGTCTCTGTGTAAAAAGGAAAGTACTACAGTGTGTGCATCTCTAGCAATGAGTTGAACATCACATCCTATAGCAGTGTACATTCTGACACTTCTGTAGAAGTTGGCCAGAGCCATTAAAATGTCAATGTGTAACTAAGAGTAGAACAAATTTGCACATGGCAGTGCTGTTAGATCCTAAATGTTTAACCTGCCATATGTTCAACTAAGCCAAACAAAAGATCTAAAGATTCAGTACTCTGAATAACTGTCTCATTGAAAAGATATCCCCTTCCATTAAAGGGACACTTTACTGCCCAGGGACATTTTTAAAAACACTATTTAGTAGCTATACCCCCAGTGAAAATATGTATGCATTTTCATTGCATTACAACATTTGCAAACCCTCCCTCTCTTCCCCAGCCCAGACTTTTTGTGGCTGTTGAATTACAGACTTCACAGTGCAACTCAATGAGAAGTCTTTGCAAGGTGTGTTCTCTGGCTAATTGCCTGCCTCCTGTGTCCCTGTCCCCTTAACCTTGCAATCTTAAAATTGCAATTTCAGAGAAACTGCAATGTTTTTATATTGCAGGGTTAAGACTGCCTCTAGTGGCTGTCTTTCAGACAGCCACTAGAGGCGCTCCTGCAACAACATGAAACAATGCTGGACGTCCTTACACTGTGCATGAGCATGTCCAGCACCTTCAAAATCCTCATAGGAAAGCATTAATTCAATATTAATAGCCACATGCCGCTCTCCGCACGTGCACATTAGCTTCTCCCGAGGGACCTCTGCACTAAAACAACCTTGTGGCTGAGGGACACTATAGTGTTCCTTTAATGGACAACTGTTTTCACTGGGTCAGACACTGCTAATCACACAGAGCACCCAGATTAACCCCAGCAACGGGCAAGTTAAACTGAGAAGTTGGTCAGATAACTGTAGAGTCTGACCCAATATTTTTTTGATTGTGTAAACACTGAACCAGATAGCTAATAAATTTCCACCATAGGAATGTTGTCTAAGAAGCTAAATATTGGAAAGGGAAGATCTTTCTGCTACATGACAACTGTTTAGAGCTTTGTTTGTTTTTGTTCAGTTGAATGCTTCGGATGACAGAGGGATAGACATCGTTCGAGGACCAATACTAAGTTTTTCTAGCACTCGGACTATATTCAAGTAGGTAATCGTTTTGTTACTGTTGGGTTTTTAATATCACTTGCTATTAACAAGTATTTAGGAAGATTGCATCGGTGCTCGTTCTATCATGGTTAATTTGCAAGTTCAAATTAAATGTTTTTTTTTTTTTTAATATGGTTAATTGCATAACCTACTTGGCGTTTTTAGGAAAAATATAAATTCATTTTTTATGTATTATTCTTTCACACTATCTTGTTTATATGTCTTGCTTTCTGCCCATTTTTTATTTATTTTATTTATAAAACAGTCTCTAACTTGTTACTTGTACATGGCAGTGACATTCCCTTTATGTATTTCTGTACTGTAATAATCTTTGCTAAATGTTGGTGAGAAACTTTATTGGTTGACTACCTATTTTAGTTTTAATGTTCACCTAATTTATTTATTTTATTTTTCTTTGCAATTTACTATAAAATATAAATCATTGCTCTAGATCCCTTTTTGTGAAGGTGGGGATATATGGTGTATATTGCCATTTAGGCGTTAAATCACTTTGCTTAAGCAACCCGAGCCACACCTACCCTGGCTGTGTTTCTCATCTTTACACTCACTTTACATTTAGACATTCTTATTGCCTGCTTTGTTAATAACCTGCTAGAGTCTGCAACAGTCTCCTTTGTGTGATTTAAAGGTCAACTAATAGAAAGAGAGATAAGAACATTAAAAAAGATACTCACCTCCCTCCCCCTTTCCTCCTCTTGGAGGCTGTGAGAGTCGCTGGCAGCGAAGGTATGGCTCCAACGTCCAGAACAAAATCAGCACCATGCTGATGAGACCCAAAAAGTCGAAACTGCAATTTGTGTCTGGTTTCTGGTCACTAATCCTTTTTTAAAAAAAAAAAAATGTTTTATTAAATGAGCCTGTGCTGAAGAGGTCATACTAGAATTTTTTTTGTTTGAAACGCGATGCCTGTCTGCTCATTTGCAAGTGATGTGTGTGTGTGTGAGCTATTGGCAAGTAGAAATAAATTAAACCCTGGTGAGTATGCTATAGCTTTTAGTGGCAAGTAACTTGTTTAAGGCCTGTGTGTACACAATTTACACAAATGTAAATTTTTACATTAATACCTTGAGCTTTCATTATTTTCCCTCTGTTCTCCATTGCTGCTCACCTGTATCAGTACTGAGGAGGGAGAGGAAATAACTTAGCAGCTTTGTTCCTGGCATCTATAACGGAAGCTGGTTATTTATGATATTCCCACTGCACTTGCACTTCTGGACATGTGTATTAAGGCAGCTTGCTGGTAGAATAAAATTTTAAATTGATTCCTCCTGGTCCTGTCTGGATACTGCACAGGAGTGTGAGGAGAGCTTAGAAAAATGTATGTTGCTGCATCAAAGAGACACTGCGTCTCCAAATTTATACCATTGCGGAAAATTGTAAACCTATTGTCTCCTTTAACTCCTCTGGGTAGAAGAGTAGATTGAGAATAATCAAGCAGTCAAGTGTATGCTGAGATCTTATGAAATCAGGACAAACAAGAAATAATTATTAGATCACAGTTTTTGCCAATATGGCACCCTGTAATTGCCATGAACATCTTCTAATATTTTTTTAGAAACCTTTGTAATTGACTTCTCTACTTGCTGCCTCTGTGTTTCAATGTGTGTAAACCACATACATTGCAGCTATACATTAGAAACATAGAATGTGACGGCAGATAAGAACCATTCAGCCCATGTAGTCTGCCCAATTTTCTAAATACTTTCATTAGTCCTTGGCCTTATCTTATAGTTAGGATAGCCTTATGCCTATCCCACGCATGCTTAAACTCCTTTACTGTGTTAATCCTCTACCACTTCAGTTGGAAGGCTATTCCATACATCCACTACCCTCTCAGTAAAGTAATACTTCCTGATATTATTTTTAAACCTTTGTCCCTCTAATTTAAGACTATGTCCTCTTGTTGTGGTAGCTTTTCTTCTTTTAAATATGGTCTCCTCCTTTATTGTGTTGATTCCCTTTATGTATTTAAATGTTTCTATTATATCCCCCCGTCTGGATTTTGTTTTCCGTTTTGGTTTTTCCTCTCCTAGATATGAGTAGACTTTGCTATATGTACTTGGACTTTTTACCAATCTGTCCTATTGTACTGATAAAGCAATCTGATTTGCATGCCTCTCTGTCTGACATCTATTTTGCTGTTGCAGGAAAGGCTTCAAGCTTGTGATCTTGGATGAAGCTGATGCAATGACTCAAGATGCTCAAAATGCTCTGAGACGAGGTAAAATAGCTCACACTTTCATATGCCTGGAAACACTACAGAATTGCTAGCTCTACATAAATCTTGAGATAGACATAACAATCTGCCATCTCTTTATGCTACAAAAGCTGTATTTATATAGTCAGCTTATCTGTGTTGCTTGTAACTAAATATTACATTTGAAAATATTGACATTGCTCTGAAATTAGCCTAAATGTTTGTAGATGGCTTTTTATTTGGGAAGGAAAGTCTACTTTTTAAAAAATTTGTTGTTTTGGGTTTTTGTTTTTACCAATCAAGAACGGAATCGGCTTGTCCATTTCTGTTCCTATGTATGGTGTAGCCCATATGGGCATCCAACAGACAGATGTCATAAATAAAACATGTATGGTTTTCTGCCACAGATTTTGGATGGGCATAATGAGGTTTGTATATGCTGCAGTGTGTTTTTTGAGAAAAAAAAGTGTCCTTTAGTAGCTTTTGTCCTTGTTGGTTGACGACTTTTAACTCCCATGTTTTTGGTATGGTATGTTGGTGGATAACCAGAACAGTCTCCATGTCTTATGGCTATTCCTTTACTGTTTGCTTAGCTTTGTCATGGAATGAAGCTCTGTAACTTAGTAACTGTTGAGTTTTATTCTGCATTCCTGTTTTGGGTTTCCTTTTCCCTATATTACTTAAATTTCATCTGGCAGCTCAAGGAATTAAGGTCTATATCTGTGTAGCTATCCACACACTGTAACAGAATGCCATGGACTTCTTCAATTTAGATATCTGTGCTTTAAACTAATCCCTTATGCAGCGCTGGGGGACCCCCAAATGAACACCACCGTTCACATGTTAATGGTTCATAAAGTACTGCCACATGCTTTAACGCGTAGCAACATAATAAAGTGTATTCATTTCTAGGGGCGTGATGTAAATTTGTACCAATCAAAAGTTAACACATTTTCAAAGCACTGCATTTTGGGGGCCATAAACCCAGCCCATCATTATCCAACTGGCATTACTTCATCTCTGTTAGAAGCAAGTGATTTCTCAGTTATTTGTTGCGTAGTCAAAAATTAATTTGCTGGGAAAAACAGAAAATACAAATGCTCTTGAAATGTTACAGCTAGTTAGTAAAGCATAAAACAAAGAAAGGGACTATCACCTAAAATTGTTATATCAAAAGGCAAAAAAATAATTTCCATTACACATCATGTAATAACATTGACTTTTGTTTTCTCCGATTTTTAGCAAATACCCTCCATTAAAACGAAACTCTGAGACCAGATTTATTGTATGCTTTTGTTTAAATGGCATGTAATTGTTTTGTTTACTTTTCTAATTCTATTTTATCAAATCTTTGGCATTAATTATAATGCCAAACTGGGTGATATGTATACTATTAACATACCACAAAAGATGATTATGCATATGTTGAGTCTTATGTTTTCCTCTTTTGTTTCAGTGATTGAGAAGTTCACAGAGAATACTCGCTTCTGTCTCATCTGCAATTATCTGTCTAAAATAATCCCAGCTTTGCAGTCCAGGTGTACAAGGTTCCGATTTGGCCCCCTCAGTTCAGAGATGATGATTCCAAGGTTGGAACACGTAGTGCAACAAGAAAGGTGACTATTGAGATCCGTGTGTTTTTTGTTTACTTTTTTATTATAGAAAAGTTATAATTATATTTCCTTTTAGATTTGATTGAAATCATTGGACTTATTATCATTTGAGGTGAAGAATTGTGGTAGCGGTAACCATATCACCGTGAGATATTGACAAATATATTCATAATGCACTTCCTACAAACTTCCTGAATATTGCAGTATATAGAATCTGTTGAATTTCTTCAGTTCCTTTCTGTAGGATGTCTGTCTTTGGAATTGGGGAATGTATTCTAATATTCTTCCAGTAAGGTGAATACATTTGAGTCTGCATCATTATCACAGGTTTTATAGACATTTGCTGACTATTTCATAACACATTTTTTTACAAAACAAGTATTGTATATTACTTTTTTTCACAATTTTATTTTGTGCATTTTCTAAACTTGTTGCTAAAATGTATTTTGTGTGAATTTTTATTTTTTTAATGAAAGCATTTACTTTTATTGAGGGAAGTATCCCCTTTTTAAATCTGTTTCCTGTCTTTTTATGTTGTATGTAAGCATTAAACCCTATGGTTATGATGTCCTGGTTTTTCATATTTGTATTTTTAAATACCATATATTTTTTTTATTTAAATTTTTATCCTGACTAACATCTTGTTTGCTGCATGTCACATATCTGCAGATACAGTCAGTATTGATTTCTTCTATATTCATGTTGCTTCTGTCTTCCATTCATAATACTTTTCACAGTTCATTCAGTTTGCTATTGGGATTATTGGAAGCAGTAGCTGTCTGCAAATTAAAATCATAGTGGAAAAGCAAATTAGACCCATGATTTAAAAAAAAAGAAAAGCCACACATACACAGTTTATATACTTATTTAGCGGTCTTCTACAGGCTCCTTGTTTTCAAGCTTGTCATTCACTCTCTGGCTGAGCTTGGTATGTTCTGAGACTCGACCCTAGTAACACAAAGTGAGTGGCATAGCTAAGGAGGTGGGCTTAGGCGCCCTTTTTTTTTAAATCTAAATATAATCAGTGACATCTGCAGAGTATCTGAGGCCAAAAACTATCAAATAAGCATAAGTTGTGTTGGTGCCTATAGTGTCTGCTAACTAATTAAAAAATGATCACCTGAGGATTAAAATAAAATAAGTTAAGCCTCAGTGGTTAAAAAAAATACTATGAAATAATATGATCTGTATGTTTAACACTGCAGACAGTGATCAAAGGGCAAGAAAGGGGTTACATTTTATTAGAAAGGGATGGGGAGGGTGGGATTTTCGAACTAGGACACCAAGGCAGACTGCAGCAGCATGTCTGAATGCAGCAACATTTGCATCAATCTGGGGTTAATATTAGTAATGAATGAAAATTTTTGTCCAGCGTCCTTAAGGGGTTAATGCAGCATGGCTATATTCACATTGTAAAATTATGAACTTTATATTTAGTATTCATTTGCACTTAAAGGACCACTCTAGGCACCCAGACCACTTCAGCTTAATGAAGTGGTCTGGGTGCCAGGTCCCTCTAGGATTAACCCATTTTTTTTATAAACATAGCAGTTTCAGAGAAACTGCTGTGTTTATAAATGGGTTAATCCAGCCTCTAAAGCCTCTAGTGGCTGTCTCATTGACAGCCGCTAGAGGCGTTTGCGTGCTTCTCACTGTGAAAATCACAGTGAGAATACGCCAGCATCCATAGGAAAGCATTATGAATGCTTTCCTATGAGACCGGCTGAATGCGCGCGCAGCGCCTACCGCGCATGCGCATTCAGCCGAAGAGGAGGATCGGAGGAGGTGAGCTCCCCGCCCGGTCGCTGGAAAAAAGTAAGTTTAACCCCTTTCCTCTCCCCAGAGCCCAGCGGGAGTAGGACCCTGAGGGTGTTTTCCTGGCACTATAGTGGTCCTTTAAAATTGTTTGGTTTACTTTGCTGTTGTCTGCAGACATTACCCTTTTATGTTCTTTTAGTACTTTCCTTGCAATACTTTCATTGTACCAGGCTCCTGTTTTTTATAACCTTTTTTTTTCTCTGGTAGTGTCAACATTAGCCCAGATGGAATGAAGGCTCTGGTGACTCTGTCCAATGGAGACATGCGTAGAGCTCTGAATATACTGCAGGTTAGATTTCATGTTAACACTTGCAAGGACTGAAATTCAGCAATGGTTGTGATCTAGATAAACAAGGCATTTGCAGCAGTTCTTGTATTATTGTACAAATTTCATTCTTTGTTTTTACTGTTGTGCACAAAAGATTCAAAACTACCAGGGTCAGGTAAATACCCATATCTATAAAAGTAATAAAGTACAATCAAATGTTTGGGGGGTGGCTGTTATTGGCAGTGAAAATATTTTTGTGGGTCACACCCATCCAAACAAGCCTCTGCTTAAGTTTCTAATACCTAGTTTCTCATTGCAGAATTCGCAGAGTGTTCACTGGTGCTTTACAGTAAGCCATATTAGCCATCTAGTGTATGACCTGTGACATAATCATTGGTGAGGTGCTGCCCTGAGTGGCAATGGGAGAGTGATACATGCAACACCCCCTCTCCCTGCTTTGCATTGTCCCATGCAGTAGAGTAGCAGAGTGGTATCAAGACAGAGTACTCTGTTTGCTCTGGCTCATCAGTTAGCATGGTGCATTCATCCTGCACTGTGAGTGGAGAGAAGTTATATCCTACCTTCTCTCAACTAACGTGCAGATTAAGTACATCAAGCTGACATGTCGGCCAGAATAGATCAAATGTGCTTTGTCTTGGTACCTCATTGTTGTGTTGCAGTTGTAGAGGGATGTCCACACAACTGAGGTGGACAGAGAGAATGGGTAAAAGACAGAATAAATCACTAATAATTGATAAAATGTATGTGAATGATATAAGGAAAGAGGGGGTCACAAGAGGAGTAGAAGGACATCAGACAGTAAGCCCCCTCGCCCACGGACCAGCTGTGCACTTTTAAAATCCCAATAAATAACCTTTTACATGTTATCTAGATTTAAATTATATGCGTTCTTTAGGAAGAAATATGGGTAAATATGAATCGTCTGACGGTCTTGCAACTGTGGCTTCTAAAAAACAGTGAGGTACACTGCTCTAGGGCCACAAATTGTATAATGTTAACTTAATTGTCTGCAACAATTTTTATAGAGTTACTCCAAGCATCATGGCCACTCAGTGTTTTGAATGGGTCCTGATGATTAAATATGTATATGCAAAATTTAAATATCGAAACGCAACACATACATGTTTGGGTTAGCTGCCAGAGGTGTAACTCTGCCTCTGGCAGTGTCATTAGGATTTTGTTAATTAGCCAGGAACAAGAGTCAATTACGTGCGTATTCCTTGCACAGAGGAGCATTCATTGGCATTCAGTTGACACTATCAGTGAATGAATAACCGCCATTATCTGCATCTGGCTTATGCAGCTTGGCAGAAGCCATATGGGTTTGCGCTACCATTATTTGAAGCTCAGCACCCAACAGGGCCACACAAAAAAAAGCAAACATTTGCAAAACAGTTTGCCTAATTACCAGGGAATGGCACTAAGGTATTTCGAATAAAACCACCACAGTGAGATCTTTTAAACGGTTTGCCGTCTTATCTGATCCTGTTGGCTCCAAACCTCCAATAATGACAGCTGAAATACATTATGCTACTGCAAACTGGGGGCAGATTCGCTGAGAGCAGCTGTTCATATTTATAATGTGTAAGTGTAAATTCCACATTATCAAAGAGACTGAAGAGTAGGCAGGTATCTCTGGATGCCGAGCAGAGTCTGAGGGTTTTGTTTTTCGGTCAGTCCACTCCAAAACAAGTTTAATAAAAACCAGGGGACAGCATCTATGTACTTCTTTTTTTGCATCATATCCACTACATAAAGCTGTACATAAAGCTCCCTCAAGTGTTGTTACTCCTGTGTCTGTCTCTCTCCAAGTCAACGGTGCTACCATCAGCTCCACCACGCAGGCTCGCTGCCTAGGTGTTCTCTTTGACTCCGACCTCTCCTTTAAGCCTCATTTTCAATCTATCGCCAAATCCTGTCATTTCCATCTCAAAAACATTGCGCGCATCCGCCCCTACATAACTCCAGATGTGACGACGGTGTTGGTCCATTCCACTGTCCTTTCTCGCCTTGACTACTGTAATCCGCTTCTCAGTGGTCTTACGTGCTCCCAACTTGCGCCGTTACAGTCCATAATGAATGCGGCAGTGAGGCTCATCTACCTGTCCGCCCGCACCTCCCACGCCTCACCCTTCTGTCAGTCCCTACATTGGCTTCCTATAAAATATAGAGCTCAATTTAAAATTCTGGTTCTTTCTTTCAAATTGCTACAGACTGCTGCTCCCACATCCTCCCTTATACACAAGTATGTCCCGTCTAGGCCCTTATCTGCTGAAGATCTGCTGAAGACTTCTATCTTCTGTCCGTTCTCCCACCTCTGATGCTCGCCTTCAAGATTTCTCGAGGGCTGCACCGTTCCTGTGGAACTCACTTCCCTCCTCCATTAGATGCTCACTCAGTCTCCACTCCTTCAAAAAATTGTTAAAAACCCACTTCTTCATAAAAGTGTATCAATTAAACTGTTAATAGCTCCTGACTGATTCCTCTTCTGCAACTGTCACTAGTCTAATACTATCCTTACCTTTTTGTGTCATTTTACCCCACTCCCTCTAGCATGTAAGCTCATTGAGCAGGGCCCTCAACCCCTCTGTTCCTGTGTGTCCAACTTGTCTGGTTACAACTACATGTCTGTTCATCCACCCATTGTAAAGCACTGCAGAATTTGATGGCGCTATATAAATAACATCATAATAGTGTTTAGAATAACTTTTAATATTCCTCTATTCCACCACAAAACACCATACATTTCAATTCTACAGTAGCAAGTTTTTATATTGCTTTCTTTTTCATTTTATTCTGCATTTTGTTTATTCAGAATTAAGGTGCTAATTTATCCAGCTTTGTATGACCTAAGATTTCTTTTGCAGAGTACAAACATGGCATATGGGACAGTCACAGAGGACACTGTCTACACCTGCACAGGCCACCCACTGAGGTCTGATATAGCCAATATCCTTGACTGGATGTTGAACAAAGATTTCACTTCTGCATACAAAAGTATCCTTTTGAGTTGTTTGTGTGTGTGGTTAAGGGACTACAAAATAGTATTGTATTGGTAGCTGATAGGGGATGGTATTTAATTTGGCTATACACTTGTGGCTTGTCCTTGGGTTGCTGAGAACATATCCTTAACCCCTTAATGACACATGACTGAAATATTCTGTCATTATTCCCTTTTATTTCTGAAGCTGTGTCCTTAAGGGGTTAAATTACTTTAACTAGTTTGATCCTAGATTGGAGTGAAAATAATTATTACAGCTATAGAGGGCTGTGTTTGCTCAGCCCACCTTGTCTGTAGACCTTTTTTCCTCCCTTCCAACAAAAATATACTTAACTCGTTGATTGTAGGCATAATGGAGCTGAAAACCTTAAAGGGCCTAGCACTTCATGATATTCTCACAGAGGTCCATCTCTATGTACACAGAGGTAATGCTGTATTACACAAAATCTACATTTATATTGCTATCTGAGTGTATGTGGACACTTTGATATACAAACCTTTACTTTTGGTACTGTTTGAGTGCTCCAATGTAACTTTATTTGGGCTTTTTTTCCTATGTATTTTGGACTAAAGAGTGACATCTTCATAGTTCTGGCTCCATCTGATACAAAAGCATACCTGAAATTTTGGTTGTGCTACCTGAATGAGGGATATAGCACTCCTATAGCAAATGATTTTTTTTTTTTTTATTATCTACTTACTAGACATGCCAAATACTATTGGTCCAGTAGAGGGCGCTCCATTAATTGTATTGTAGGATGTGGTTATTTTACAGGCTGTCACCTTATCAGACACAAAGCAAATGCTACATTAGTAGTAAAATAGTCTGTAACAACAAAAGTAGTTTAGCCTGCAGTATTGGTTAGCTATCTGGAGAGGTTTGTTTTAAATACTGACTTGCAAAATGTCGAACAGACTAGTCAACTTATCAGTTATGTGTAGTGAATACTCATAAGCATGGATCTACATTTCCATTTACCACTAGCATTGTCGAGTGAAACTAGCCCTGGAGCGAATAAGCTTACCCCTGAAGTTTATGCTATAGTTCGCATAGGACTTCTAATTTTTAACCCTGATTTAAAGGGTAAAATTATTGTACTAAAACATCAACTATGTAGAATTGCATTCGTCCTGCTTGAAAATAGTGCTGTTGGTTCTTTGGTTGACACCATATTAAGTCCAGTATTTGAGGGCTTATGAGATGCCTTGTTCAGCTCTTTTGTAAAATGATATGGTATTTTTATGGCAATCCTACAAGAATTAGGGAGCTATCTATTAAGAAGCTGAAATACCAAAATAATAAAAAGCCCTTTTCATAATTATTGTCTTTTAGCCTACGTTACTAATACTAAGAAAATTGTATTGGTAAATAAGGCAGGTTAAATCCTCCCTCCTGCCTCTGTCAACTGTGCCATGAGTAGGGGTATGTATAGTGGGGTGCTGAATCTATTGTCTCCCCCTCCCTTCCACCCAGCAAACGCAAATGGGGCTCCTAAATGATGGGTGAGGGACCTATTGGCTTTCCCCACCCAGTGGCTGCGGATGGGGGCTAATAATAAAATGGTTTTCTCCCCCCCCACGACTAGGGGTTTCCAAAAAAAAACTCTGACAGACATGCATACCCACTGACAAACACATATGCTCATTCTTTGTCCACACATATGCCAGTGTGGGGCCAGCAGTTTGTGGGAGAGGGATGGTGCATTGTGTGTTGGTGACAGGGGGAGGGGCAGGGTGTGTGTTGGTGACAGAGGGAGGGGCAGGGTGTGTGTTGGTGACGAGGGGGCGGGCAATGTGTGTCTGTTGGTAACGGGAGGGCAGGGTGTATTGGGGGGGGACTGTGTGTTGGTGACTGTGTGGGAGAGGCGGGAAGTGTGTTGGTAACGGGGATAGGGGGAGTGCATGTTGGTGATAGTGGAGGGGGGGAGGATAGGGTGTGTTGGTGACACACCCTGTTATATAATGGCAAGGGCGGCAAAATGCTGCACCTGTCAGAGGGCCGTCGGGGCTCCATGCAAATTGAGCTAGTAGGGCGGGCAAAGCCTTATAAAGGTTTCCCACGCTGTGCAATTTCACTCAGCACTAAGTCAACCAATCAAAGTGCTTTGAACGGTAAATCATAAGATGGCAAAGTGTGGAAACTTTTAAAACGCTTTCCCTGCTATCTCATTCTGCATGGAACCTCATCGCTGTGGGTGAACATGGATTTAAAAAAAAATAATTTATCAAAACAACATGGATTTTTATATAGCTTTTTTGGGGGCCTAGATAAGGACATCTAATGGGAAGTATTTTATTTTATAGGTATTTAGTTGATTGCCTCCCCCACACTATTATTGAGGGGGGAAGGGTATTTTTTGGGGGGTCCCCTAGTCACAGGTGGGATTAAGCTGCTGCATATTCACAAAGCAGTTATCTACCAGGCTGAGAGTACTGTGCATGAAGAAAATTAGTTCTGTGTGCATGTAAGTGGAGACTGGCTTGGACAGCTTAGTGAATAAGCTAGACATCACTTTAAGACATTAGTGGGTTGTGTGTGTAGCTCTGGTGCCAAAGCTGAAGAGTGAATCATTTTATAATTGTGAGTGCATTTTTTTTTACTATATCTATGTGTGAATAAAGGGTATCATGCTATCTAAGAGCCCTCTCTGCGCTTACTTTTAAATATTAAAAATTAAATGTTTAACTTTCCTTTCTTCTGCAGTGGACTTTCCATCATCTGTTCGAATGCAGTTGTTAATCAAGATGGCAGACATAGAGTAAGTCACTTTCTTTTTGAACATTCATTTAAAGTTTTATAATTTAGGATGGCTAAGATTAATAGCTTAATGTAATGCTTCACAAGAATATAGACATTCCCTATTTTAGTAGTAATATTAACAAAGTGTTTGTTTACTTGCTAAAAGTATGAGATTTTAGGGATAATTTTCTATAAAAGGATAACATTTAAAGGCGGTTAAGAACGGCTTGACTGTTAAAGTATACCCATATGTATTGTTTTCCATGTGGATATTGAATTAATCTTAATGTATTTAAATTGCCTTCATTTATTAAAAAGATGTTAAACATCATTAATGTCTTATTATGAAACGTTTTCTATTGTCTGCACTTGGGGACCGCCGCAGTCTCACCTGCTCTGATATTAAATTGACTCTGGCTAACTCAGGTAGTGTCTAGGAATTCTAACATGGTCAGAGATAGTCACAGTAATCTGTGATGGACCGCTGTCACTGAGTACCATGCCCACCACTTATTCGCTTGATTTTCTCTTGTATCAGGTGTTTCCCCATGTATTTTTATGCCTTTCATGTATTGTGCCCTGTTCCCCGTTCAGGAAAATTCCCCGATATCCCATTTAGAATGCTCATTAGAACGTTCCAAAACCACAACGGAAATCACTAACGAATGCTCTTCTGGGTGGCTGCCAGTTCGTATAGCCAAACTTCAGCCAAGGGGAGCATTCGTATCATGAACTGGCTTGCCTGCACGGTTTCAGGTTGTGTCGGGGATCCCTCTACCTGCTCCTAAAGGAGCCATAATTACTGCTTCTCCCTTCCCGGGAGCTGCAAGGCCAGGCTCGTAGCAGCCCAGAAAGCGCTCTCTCCGCTGCTACCTAAGTGGAGTTATCCACCGATTGGCGCAAACAAGTTTTGCGCCCTTTCTACTTAGTGAGCGGCGAAATACCTCTCCTCCCTGAGCGCCGATTGGCTCGAATTGGTTTCGCGCCTTTCCCCATATTGGTCATTGCTTGGTTTAGGCGAAGTTTGAATTGACCAGCCTAAACCACTCAAACCCGTGAAACTAATTTCGGGAATATACAGAGCCACGAACCCAGACTTTAGACTGATTTCTCGGGCTTAGTACATCCGATAGTCCCACTATTTACAGGGATCCTAGTTGGGACCCTGGGCTATCCAGGGATGGATGTTTTATGTGTACCAGGGGCCGGTGCAAGGATTTCTGCCGCCCCTCATCTCACTCATTCACTGACAGACACTCACCTCCCTGGGGTCCATTGTGGGGCTGCCTCTCACTCCTCCCGCCCGCTGTTTAGTATGCTAGGGCCAGAATGATGTAATATTCCGGTTCCGGCATCACAGAGGGCACGAGGGAGGAGTGAGAGGCTGCAAGAACCCTCACCGCCTGGCTTTTCCGTCCCCCTCTCCTCCGGACTGTCACTGGCATTTGTTGGCAGAGCAGGCACCTGCCATCAAGGTAAGCAGGTGCCTGCTCTGCCTTACCTAGCACAGCCTTGGGGGTGCACTGAGGTGGCCAAACGGCCACCTCCTGGCCCCACCTGTGACAGGGCTCCTCTCGGCGCCCCCACCTTCAGGCGCCTTGAGGATCGGCCCGTGCTGGGGGCGGCTCGAGCCGCTCGCCCAGTGTTGCAGCCCCAGACGGACAGGCAGCCGACCAGGAAACATCCCGGTGGGCGCCCCCAGCAGGGCGGCGCCCTAGGCGAATACCTAGCTCGGCACGGTGTGTAACCCTTTTTCTTCCCCTCCCCTAAGTGTTCCCCATTGTATATGATGTGCTTTACTGTTGTTCTCCCAGGGTGGGTGATGTCTATCTGTAAACCGTCCCCCTCCAGCTGGAGACTGAGGGATTTGTACTGAAAAGAATGGAGACCCCCCTGTGGGGGTCTGTGTATAAATTGCCTGTACCAATAAAGCATTGTCAGACCCCCAGAACTGTGTCCTCGTTACTGAGGGGAAGAAAGGGTTAATCACTGTTCCTGCGTGTGGAGGATGCAGCAGGGAAAGTCCTTGCAAGGACTAGAGCTTCCTGGACTGAGTGCTGTCCAGTCCCTGGGAGCGCATAGAGCTAGTTCCCCTACCCATTTCCAGCTAGGAAGCGGACCACTGGCAGAGGTACCCAGCTGGGGTACAGTTGGCTGCGCCACAGTATCAGAGAAGAATTCTTGTGAGAGATCAGACTTCTCTTATCCCCTGAAATCTAAGTGGTATAGTTAAAGGAGCTCTGTCACCGTCTGGGGTCTGTGCCTATATTGATGGTGACTACTCTGTGTCCTGTGACGCGGGGTGCGTTTTACTTGCCTAAATCTATCCCTCGCCGCACAGGCCATGTTCTTTCTGCTACGATCCCATGTCAATTTTGTACTCTCATGTATGTGAGAGTACAACACTGAGATTTATGGAGGATCCTGTGAGAAGCTCCATAGTTATTGCCTTTTCCCTACAGATGTCACTAGTGAAAGCGGAAGTTCTACATTTTGTCAGGTGTAGGGTCTACTTTGTATTAGTGTTTCTGTTGACTGAGTTGGAATTTTAGGGAAATTCCAGTCAATGTGACTATTTATTAAAGGGACACTATACCACTGCAGCTCATGAAAGTGGTCTGGGTGCAGTGTCCCATCACCCTTAACCTAACGGGTCTTTAGGCAACACTTGGTCGCTAAATGAAGCTGGACATTCTCGCATTATGCAGGAGTATGTCCAGCGTCACCAGCATCCACATAGGAAAGCACTGAATAATGCTTTCCTATAGGGAAATTCTAATGCGAGCATGGCATTTGCCACGCATGTGCATTAGGTCTCCCGCGCTGCAGGGTTTTTGCAGTCACCCTATGGCTTTTCACAATCTGCCCTCTCAGAACTCTGGTTGCAGCCATTGATAGCTTCCTTTTTCTGCCCTGTCCAGGTAGTGTAGCCACTGTTCCTTCACCTTTGAACTTTTGTGAGCTATGCTTCCAACAGTGTCTCTAGGAACATTCAGTGCCTTTTCTATATTTTTGTATCATGTTTCTTGTTTGAAGGGTAAGGATCTCTTCTCTTAACTTGGACCATCTTTTGACTTGGCCATATTTGTAACATGCAGGCAAATGTGACATTCAGCAAATTCCTAACCATTTCAGGTGTTCCAGCTCAAGCACCCCTGGTGCAAATAATGGAGCCCTTGATTAGTTGCATCAGGTGTCCTTGAGACCACACCTGTCTTGCATATTTGTGCTGTTGTGAGGGATTTTATTCAGGGGGTTGAATAATTTTGAGGCTGGAGCAGTCAAACTACTTTTGAAGAAACCATTTGAAGCATTCATTGTGTTGATCTATTTTAATTGCTTTTGTTTGATTTTGTTCATTGCAAACAGCTGAAAGTCTGTAGACTGACAACCTGATTTTCAATGTGGGTTGAATTCTTTTGATTACAAGTGTATGTTCACTCCAGTTGTTTCAAAGTGTAAACGTTAATTTTCTACATCTGATCTGCTGTTGACAAAGTTTGACAATTAAAACCTTACCCTTTTGAGGAACGGGCGAAAAGAAAAAAATCATGTAAGACTTCATATTTGCACCATAGCTCATGTGTGCTTAGATAGTTGTAGTAAAAGTATTTTTTTTACATTTATCTAGACTACATTAGCATTTTAAATCATGTCTAGTACATTTTTACCAGGGTCAGCAGGTTACCAATATTTGTTATGTATTCTATACATCAGTTTTTGTTTGTTTGTTTTTATTCTTTTCAGACACAGATTGGCTTCAGGAACCAGTGAGAAGCTTCAGCTAAGTTCACTTATAGCAGCTTTCCAGGTCACCCGAGACATGATTGTAGCTGAAGCTTAAAAAATTAAATAGAAAGAACTAATGCCTTGAGAACATAGAAGGCAATACTGTACATGGACAGAGCAAGACCCCTCACACAAAGTTTAAGAAGGAAGAAGACAATGCCAAAGAGTGCAGACCCCAAAACTTATTTTTATTTGGATACATCTCTGCACTGTTAGGTGTGAAAGGACCCCTGTTACAACTCATTTATGGTCATATTTTCTTATTGATGCTGACTTGAAATTAAGGTCTTTAAATAAAATCTATATTACAGTATTTGTGCCAGAGAAAACACAATATTAGTGGGGTCATCTGTCAACTTCCCCAGCGCTGAAAGAATCAGGATTTTCAAGCCAAACACCATCATGAATAGGATGGAGAAAAAAAAAAAAAATCAAGTTAGTAGCACTAAGTATCGGCAAAGAGCAAATGATTTCAATTGTATTTTTGGTCCTTTTTACAGTGGATCTGCAACTTCCAAACAGTTATATAACACCACTACTACTAATGTGGAACCTATGCCTAACATTGCTTCATCTCGCTAAACACATACAATGGTAAATAGCCTATTGATCGGCTTCCCCTCCCCCAGGAACATAACTGAAAGTATATTACTTGCGTATAAGTGCTCCTGTTTTGCTAACGTAGGTTGCTATCTAAATATATTTTCAGAACAAACTGTGGTTTTCACAGCATGTCAGGCAGCAGCCTTGTATGCAAAATCTAAAACCGAATTGTATAAAACAGTTACACAAATAGCCAAATGGGGAGAGTGGGAATCTTCCATAGTTATCTTTCTAGTTTTGCTCTTGTGACTTCAAATGCAAACACTTCTATTAAATAAACCTGTAAGATTTACTTTATTCTATGTACAAACTGTACACTGCAGGTTTATTTATGAAACAGACACTCCAGACCCTTAACAGGAGGTGCCCCTTTACCCAGTTCCTAAAAGGGCATATTTTAAGAGAAATCGTCACTTTAAATATTTAGGAATGCTCACTGACTGTCATATGGACATCCAGAATTTTTTTTTTTGGGGGGGGGTGTTCTGCACTTGTGATGGAAGTGAGAGCTTTCATACATAATTTGTTTAATGCTTCCCTGTAGGACGTTATTGATGCATTCACCATGAAGAGACTGTGGCCACAAAGTCTCCCAGGGTGGAACAGATCAGTTTTTTTAGAGAGGGCTTGCTGTTTAGGGAGGACTTTGAGGGAGAGAGGGTGTGTTATGCCCTGGCATCTAGTACAGTAAAGGAACACTCCAGACACCATAACTTAATTAGCTTACTCTTAAGGGTTAAATCACAAAGGATTCACACACTGATTGCTCTGCCCCGTTCTTCCACTGCTCAGAATCTTGATGAGTAAGCCTCGGCCCTGAGTACCACTTATTGGCTTAGAACCGCCGTTGACACCCTTAGCCATTCATCAGCACTCCTAGCCAAGGGTACCTGTTGCAAGATTCTGAGCAACGGAAGGACCGGCAGGGCAATTGGATACTGGACTTTGGGGTTAGACTGCTCATGAGCAGTTTAACTCCTAAATGTAAGCTATTACCAGAAATTCTTCATTCCACTGAAGTTGCTATGGTGTCATGGATGTTCATTTAACAGAGCATTGCTGATTAAAAGTAAGATTAGGGGAAGGAATAGAATATCTACCTCCATTAGGAATTAATCAGTCAATAGCAATCTGTAACATGCAATCTATTTAGATAACCTAAAACATAACACAATATACAATCACTCTACGGTGTTTACACTCCTCCCCCTCCCCCCAACATATCATCCAATTAAGTTGTACTTTATTCAGACACTAACTAGTGTATGGGTAGTCCACACACTTAAGTGCTTGAAGTTAAAGGGAAGATGTTATTTCTTCCTAAAGATTTAAATTAATAGAACCCCTCCAGGAGGACTAAAATAAGGAATTCTATCCTCCACTAGCTGAGTTAATCATTACTAATGGGGGTTATACTGTGCAGCAATATGCATCTCTATGGGGAGCATGCGGACTGTTGAAAGAGTGCAGGACACTATAGAAGCAAAGCTAATCGCTGTCTGAGTAACCATCAAAGATGTTTTTAGGCAAAAAGGTAAACACTGCCTTTTCACAGACAAGGCAGGTTTTTTTTTTTTTTTTGTTAAAATGCTAGGGTAGACAAAAACTACTCCTTTAGGCTGGTTCTGGTACTTTAACCCCTTAAGGACACATGATGGAAATATTCCATCATGATTCCCTTTTATTTCAGAAGTTGTGTCCTTAAGGGGTTCAAATAGGACCTTCTTAAACTGGTATCTTGAAACCCATATTAGCCTGATTAAAGGATTTTATTTTAACCTTTAGAACCATAGGTTAGTTAAATCCTTTTATAATGACATGCCTGATATGTTAGTCATACATTTTCTATAGCTACAGCATGGGTTGGACAAGCCCTATTTTCAGTTACTTGCCACATCATTTATATACATGGCAAAACTGTATAAACAATTAAAAAAAAGTTTAACATGGGGTATCTTACTCTAATTTTCTTTCATTACATCAGTTTAGGGATAAATGTTCTCAGTGCTGTATGAGAGTCTTGGAACCTTTAAGAGTTATTTAGTACCTGTACACCAGTTCAGGATTACATTTAGGCCTTGAATTTGCTACCATTTGTAAAGTTAGTGCTTACTTAGTTAAATTAAAATGATCGCTTTATACATAAGTGCAAATGTACACATTCACATTATAGGATTTAAGGAATGGTCGTCCTTAGGCCAAAAAAAAAAAAAAATACTAGCAGATTGCCAGAGCCTTGCTTCTTATTAAATCCAATATCTAGCAGCCAAACTTATGTGTACTATAGAATTCCTATGTAATTAACATTGTTCTCATGAGTATGAAGACCAATATCTTTTATGGCATACAGTACTCTGTAACGCCATACGTAGTCTCTGACCAAGTAGCTCCAGCCTGATAAGTAAAAATTAATTATTTTTGCCCTAGCAGCATTTTTAGAAGTTGTTTCTAAATTTAAACAGAACAGGAAAAAAAAAGTAAATTATGAAATTGCATCCATTGTGGAGATATGTACAGTAAAGCAGTACATATTATGCAATACGGTTAAGAGAACCAGGAAGTCTGGTTTATCCTTAAAAACAAAAATTCATTACATCACTGAACATACACATCTCATGTTTGCTGCAAAAAGGAGCACGCAAGTTATTTTAAGGGGCTTTTCTAACCTTGGAAGCCGCTTTAAAGTGACCTAATCATCAAATTTCATTGTTTTTAAATACAGATAATTCGGTCGGTTTTCTCAACTTATGATGCAGAAACATTTGTTTTGTAACTTTTTTTTTTTTTTTAGATTCCTTTTGCACATTTTCTATGACTAACTTTTGCAATTTCTGGTGATTAGTGAGATTTATTAGTGGAATCTGCATCTGTTGTTGGTGGTTTAAATAATGTCAAGTGCTGTAAGTCCATTTTAGCATTCCTTGTGCTGGGTGAGGCTAAAGATTAGTCCTATATGTAAGAAAATCCTTCATTTTGCCTGGAATGGGCAGAGCAAGAACCTGGTAGGTGGTAAGAAAGCAGCGTAATGCTTTACGACATAGGTGTCGAAGTGAAGAGAGAACTTTGGGGGCTGTCCAGAACTGCACATATCCATCTCTATTTCTGTAAGGTAGAAGGTAAAATTATAAAAAGGTTAGAGTGAGGAAACTGGAGAAGAACATGCCACACTGAAGTAGATCAAGCCATTTGTATAGATAATGACCTAAAGTACCATATATACTAGAGTATAAGTCGACCCGACTAAAAGTCGAGACCCCTAATTTTACCCCCAAAAACTGGGAAAACTTATTGACTCGAGTATAAGACTAGGGTGGGAAATGCAGCAGCCACTGGTAAATTTCTAAATAAAATTCGATCCCAAAAAATATTAATTGAATTATTTACAGTGTGTGTATATATAATGAATGCAGTGTGTGTGTGATGCAGAGCCTTGGTGGGGAGTGGGCATTTTTTTTTTTTTTTAATAACTAATATATATTAATATTTTTATTTTATTATTTAAATCTTAATTCATTTTCGTCCCCCCTCCCTGCTTGTTAGCTGGCCAGGGGTGGGGGGTGGCTCTCATTGCCTGGTGGTCTAGTGGCATGGGCTGTGTAGGAGGGCTGACAGCGAGCTGTAACTTACCGTTTCTGCAGCTCCCTTCTCCTCCACTGTAAGTATCGCGGTCTGAGTGCCGCGCGGCGCTCGCGAGACTTACAGTGGAGGAGAAGGGAGCTGCAGGAAAGGTAAGTAACAGCTCGCTGCCAGCCCCCAACAGGACCGCCGGGCTTGTAGGTCAATGACAATTATTTTGTTCATTTAATCTCTGAAATGTGGTTGGTTGCAGACTTTTTTGCCTTTAACCCCTTAAGGACACATGACATGTCATGATTCCCTTTTATTCCAGAAGTTTGGTCCTTAAGGGGTTAAGGTAATGTTAGCCTTGCTTTATGCAGAAGAGGCTTTAAATGCATAGTGGCTATACTTACCCTGTTGCAAGAATTCCCCCATGTGGGAAGAATGTACAACACAGACCATTTGTAACAGGTGCCACAGACACAGGGTCTTCAACATCTAACAGCCAAACTCGCAGAAACCTGAAGCAGCAAAATTGATTGTTTATTAAAAATATATGCAAGAATTCAAAAGAGGTAAGTCAACTTAAACTGTTGAGCATTGACAGACCATTATGAAATCTGCATGCTGTACCATGAGAAACAACCTGGCTTAAACAGAGCTAGATAACCCTGAAGGCAGCATGTATACAAATTGATGGGCCACTTACAGAAAGTGCTGCCCTTCACTATATAGAAGTCAAATACTGCAGGTAGTAATTCAGGTTATAAATCAATCAGGAATCCGGTGACATGTGCATATCCATAATATAGGGCAGCCTTCTCGGGTGCGAGCATGAATGAAGGCAAGTGTATCTATGATTGAATGCCTATGTGTGAATACAGTGTGTGGATGAGTGCCCAGAGCTCTAGAAGAGGTCCAGATCGGATATGCTGCCTATAGCAATCTTTATTTGATCAACATTTGAGCCAGATGGAGTATGACAAGTACAATTTCATCTGGGCTGGCATTCCGTAATACATCTTTGTTTCTTTCGGGCTCCAGGTCCTTAGAGAATACAGGTTAACCCCTATAATGCTGAGGCATGCATGTCTACATTGCGTGACAATGCAGATTTATATAATTTTATGGAATCTGTTGTATAGTTTAGGCCCCACTAAAGGCAACTTTAAATGTCACCATTAAATAGCATGGCATTGACAAACCTATTCTGAAACACAACCATATTTGGTATTTAGTGTTCCAACAATAAGCCATTTTGGTTTATCCATTAACATGGTTACATCAGATATGGAAGGAACTTTGATACTAAGTAACTAAAAGAGAAAAAAGGAGAGCCTAGATATGAATGAGGCACAAATATGGATAGAAACAAAATGGGGGGTAACCCCTAAATGGTGAATTTATATGAATACAAAAAAAGAAAAGAAAAAAAAAAACTACCATAGAGTGTCTCAACATTTTGGTAAATATAGTCACAATGAAATGGGCATAAAAAATAACTTTTAATGGATATATTAAAATGATAAAAGCAAAACAAAAAGCACAAGGCTAAAAAATAATATGTCCTATAAACTAGTAGGGGTATTAAACCTCCAATAGAACCAATAGCAAGAGAAGTGTTGCTTCAAAGAAATACTTATTGGTGTAAAGTAAAACTACTTGCTATGAACAATGTAACTGTATTCTAAATAGAGAAGTTGGATACTAGTATCTTCAAAACTCTTCCTGCAGAACAGGGTAGGTTGAATATAGATGAAATGCCTCTAGTGCACAAGGGGTTAAACAGCACAACAGTTGGTTGCAATGGTTAATAGAAAAGAGGCAGGGAATACCTGTATAATAAAGAGGTATAGGAGACAGTTGCAAGCTAGGTTAGATATAATGGTCAGTAGAAATATAGAGACTAGGTAATCCTGACACTTGCTAGCAAGAGAGATGTCAATACAAAGAGATACTTTAATAGTAAAAAGTTAAGCCACTTTCTATAAACAATATCATTGAATTCAAAATAGGAGGGTGGGGTATTAGTATCCTCTAAACTCCTCCTGCAAAACAGGGTCTGCTGTATATAGATAAAGTACCTCTAATACACAAGAGGTTAAACAGTACACCAATATGGTTGCAATAGTTAATGAAGAAGAGGCAGAGAATACCTGTAAATAGGGAGGTATAGGAGGCAGTAGCAAGCTAGGATTAGATGCAATGATAAATAGAGATGTAGAAAATATAGATAATCCTGATGCTTGTAAGATAAATCTAAGTGCCTTCGAGGGCACCCCTTAATAAATGCTTATACTATATAGCACAACCTCCCAAAAAGGTGTGAATACAGAGAGATACTTAAATAGTAAAAAGTGATGCCACTTGCTATAAACAATGTTCAAGATAGGAGGGTGAAGTATTGGTGTCCTCTGAACTCCTCCTGCAGATGAGTAACCCAGACGAAACGTGCACGTCAGGGGCTCAGGAAGCCTAGCTTGACATTCCTCTGCTGCTGCACTTATTCAGCCGCGGTCTGACTAGCGATCTTACTTTTACAACTAGGCATTCTTTTTACTTGTCCTATCCTCTGTCTCTTTATTCCTTTTTGGGGGGTTGAGTTATATAGTATAGGCATTTATTAAGGGGTGCCCTCGAAGGCACTTAGTTTTTCTATCTTACAAGTGTCAGGATTACCTATATTTCCTACATCTCTATTTATCATTGTATCTAATCCTAGCTTGCTATTGCCTCCTATACTTCCCTATTTACAGGTATTCTCTGCCTCTTTTCTATTAACTATTGCAACCACATTGGTATCCTGTTTAACCTCCTGTGTATTAGAGATACTTTATCTATATACAGCAGACCCTGTCCTGCAGGAGGAGTTCAGAGGACACCAATACTTCACCCTCCTATCTTGAACATTGTTTATAGCAAGTGGCTTCACTTTTTACTATTTAAGTATCTCTCTGTATTCACACCTTTTTGGGAGGTTGTGCTATATAGTATAAGCATTTATTAAGGGGTGCCCTCGAAGGCACTTAGATTTTCTATCTTACAAGCATCAGGATTATCTATATTTTCTACATCTCTATTTATCATTGCATCTAATCCTAGCTTGCTACTGCCTCCTATACCTCCCTATTTACAGGTATTCTCTGCCTCTTCTTCATTAACTATTGCAACCATATTGGTGTACTGTTTAACCTCTTGTGTATTAGAGGTACTTTATCTATATACAGCAGACCCTGTTTTGCAGGAGGAGTTTAGAGGATTCTAATACCCCACCCTCCCATCTTGAATTCAGTGACATTGTTTATAGAAAGTGGCTTAACTTTTTACTATTAAAGTATCTTTGTATTTACATCTCTCTTGCTAGCAAGCGTCAGGATTACCTATAGTCTCTATATTTCTATTGACCATTATATCTAACCTTGCTTGCAACTGTCTCCTAAACCTCTTTATTATACAGGTATTCCCTGCCTCTTTTCTATTAACCATTGCAACCAACTACTGTGCTGTTTAACCCCTTGTGCACTAGAGGCATTTCATCTATATTCAACCTACCCTGTTCTGCAGGAAGAGTTTTGAAGATACTAGTATCCAACTTCTCTATTTAGAATACAGTTACATTGTTCATAGCAAGTAGTTTTACTTTACACCAATAAGTATTTCTTTGAAGCAACACTTCTCTTGCCATTGGTTCTATTGGAGGTTTAATACCCCTACTAGTTTATAGGACATATTTTTTAGCCTTGTGCTTTTTGTTTTGCTTTTATCATTTTAATATATCCATTAAAAGTTATTTTTTTTATGCCCATTTCATTGTGACTATGTTTACCAAAATGTTGAGACACTCTATGGTAGTTTTTTTCTTTTCTTTTTTGTATTCATATGAACTTTGATACTACCTCAGTGTATTTTCAGGTTACAAAAGTTTAGCAGCCAGAATAGCCAAGGCGATGACTTTCATCATCTAATTTAAACACTAGATGTCAGCACATGTTCAGCTTCTCTAAGGGATAGCATGGCACAATTCCTTCCTTACCTGTCATCTGCCAAGCTTGCCAAGTACAACCCTTCTGGAGAAAAGCAGACTGATCTCAAAGAGCTGAGCTGTGGCTCTGCATTACTGTAATCAAAGGCGGGTGGGAGAGATACATGCCTAAAATTAAAAGTGCACATTTAATAACAAACACTTTACTTCCTCACTCAAATTTCTCATTATCTAAATCTATACATCTTAATAAGATACTTCGTTAGGCACTGTAGTCAAGCCAGTCCAATTCCAGTAATAAACTTACAGAAACGCTCTCAGCTTTTCTCCGGTGTAAGGGTCCCACATAATCATGGTAGTGTCAAAGGACGCAGTCACTAGAAGAGCAGAATCTGGAGAGAAGTCACATGAGATCACACTGTTCCGGTGACCCTCAAGTTTTCGAATGAGTGTGTAGGAACGCATACTCCATAGCAAGACCTAAATAGCAAATAAAAACATTACTTTGGGGTTTGTTAAATACCATGAGACCGTGAAGTCTTTTGAGAGCTTTGTCTGGCATCTGAACTTGTATAGTACAATGTAGGTTTCCTAGCTTCTAAAATAATCAGCATAAATATTCTACAGACGTGTTAAATTACTCATTGACAGCCGCTAGAGACGCTTGCGTGCTTCTCACTGAAAATCACAGTGAGAAGACGCCAGCGTCCATAGGAAAGCATTATGAATGCTTTCCTAGGAGACTGGCTGAATGCGCACGCAGCTCCTGCCGCACATGCGCATTCAGGAGAGGAGGAGAGCTCCCCGCCCGGCTCTGTAGAAAGAGGAGAGTTTAACCCCTTCCTCTCCCAAGAGCCCAGCAGGAGGGGGACCCTGAGGGTAGAGGCACCCTCAGGGCACTATAGTGCCAGGAAAAAGTATGTTTTCCTGGCACTATAGTGGTCCTTTAATACTGTAGTAAGGGGAAACTAGATATTATTTGACCACTCAAAGCAGAAAGATTGAAGTCTACTTGCACTTGTCATGGTAAAAAAAAATAAAAAAAAAAAAATCAGAGTAATCTTTAAAAAAAGAAAAACAGAACGAACGGGGTGGGGTATTTATTAAACAAATAGAAGTTTAACCCCTTAAGGACACATGACAGGTGTGACATGTCAGGATTCCCTTTTATTCCAGAAGTTTGGTCCTTAAGGGGTTAAGCATGCCATCGTTAGATTTCAAATGGGAATCACTTTTCCATTGCAGATTTAAATACGGACACTCTGCCTATCACTAGCTTCCTATTGAGATAAGCAAGTGAAAAGAGTACTATAAAGTTGTTATAGTACCAAGAGTGGCCCTTTAAAATCACAGTGTTACACTAAGGTGTCCCTAGAAATAAGTTATTTAGCTAGTGTTAAATTTCCTGCCTTTTTTGCATAGACAGCTCTAGCCATTTGCTTTTCAGAGAAAAGTGCCTAGGAAAACTTTACATGCTTTCTATGTCAGTGTAGCACTGTGTGCAGTGCCTACGTTCAGCTTCTCCATGTTCTGCATGTAGACGCTGAGCGTTCCCCATAGAGATGCATTGATTCGATGCATATCTATGAGGGGATGTAGATTTGCGCAGCAGTGTTTTGCCATGCATACGACATAGCCTCACAATGATTTCCTATTGGAAAGCATTGGATTGGATGAAATTGTCAAAATTGATGATCTCAGCCATGGAGGTGGGGCCAGCTGCTGAGAGACCAGCATGGTGAGGGAGAAAAGGTAAGTGAGGAAGAGGTGAGATTGGAGAGCCTGGACTCTTGCTTTGGTACCATATTTCCAAAGTCCAGTAGAGAGCCGTTAAATCTGGGAAACATTTCTTCATATTGTTTTATACGAGCGAGTTGGCTCCTGACTTACTCCATAGTTGGTGGGCTTATGGAAGGCACATGTGAACTCCCACCTCAGACTATAGCTAGTGCACCTTTTTGATTTTTGCCAGACTGTTATATGCAAGTAAACTTTTAAAGTCCCTTATGGGGCCAGGTACAATGTCAAGCATGTGAAGAGTAATGTTGGTGTCCACTTGCACCAAATTAACATGGAGTGTCTAAATGTTGCCGGCATATTCAGCATTCTAGGGCGAGATGAGTGAGTAATGGGGAGTGTGGAAAAGGTGTTCAGCATGCAAACGCCAATGTTGCCCACAAGAGAGAAGCTTTTGTGGAGAACAAAGAGTGATTCAACTAGCCATGTAATATGATCAACCATCCAGAACCAACCTTCGATGGGTGCAAGCAGCAGGTGACTTGAGACGCCCTTGTTGGTTTGCGTTTCCATATGTAACTCGAATCCTTGATATTGTCTAAGCAAACTATTTGATAGTGCTATAAGAATAGTTCTAAGAATATATATAGGATGATTGGTGAGACACGCATTTAGGTTAAATGGCCGCTATAGTCACCAAAACAACTTTGGCTTAATGAAGCAGTTTTGATGTATAGATCATGTCCCTGCGGTCTCACTTCTCAATTCTCTGCCATTTATTTGAGTTAAATCACTTTGTTTATGAATCCTAGTCACACCTCTCTGCATGTGACTTGCACAGCCTTCCTAAACACTTCCTGTAAAGAGAGTCATCTAAAAGTTTATCTTTCCTTTATAGGAAGTTTAATTTAGATTTTCTTATCCCCTGCTATGTTAATAGCTTGCTAGGCCCCGCAAGAGCCTCCTGTATGTGATTAAAGTTCAAGTTACAGAGAAATAGATACAATTGTTTAAGGTATATTACATCTTATTGAAAGTGAAACCAGTTTTTTTTTCCATGCAGGCTGTGTCAATCAAAGTCAGGGGAGGTCTGACAAGGGCTGCATAAACAGAAACAAAGTAATTTAACTCCTATATGGCAGTGATTTATTATGCCATTTATATAGCGCCATCAAATTCTGCAGCGCTTTACAATGGGTGGACGAACAGACATGTAGTTGTAACCAGACAAGTTGGACACACATGAACAGAGGGGTTGAGGACCCTGCTCAATGGGTTTACATGCTAGAGGGAGTGGGGTAAAATGACACAAAAAGGTAAGGATAGTGTTAGACTAATGACAGTTGCAGAAGAGGAGTCAGTCGGGAGCTATTAACAGTTTAATTTATTCGCTTTTATGAAGAAGTGGGTTTTTAACGATTTTTTGAAGGAGTGGAGACTGGGTGAGCATCTAACGGAGGAGGGAAGCGAGTTCCACAGGAACGGTGCAGCCCTCGAGAAATCTTGAAGGCAAGCATCAGAGGTGGGAGTACGGACAGAAGATAGACGTAAATCTTCAGCAGATCGTAAGGGCCTAGACGGACATACTTGTGTATAAGGGAGGATAGATAGGTGGGAGCAGCATTATGTAGAGATTTGAAAGCAATGAGGCTTGAAGGAGAGGTCGGAGTCAAAGAACACCTAGGCAGCGAGCCTGCGTGGTGGAGCTGATTGAGCAGTAAAACCTGATAAACCTGATCTATACACTAAAACTGCTTCATTAAGCTAAAGTTGTTTAGGCGACTATAGTGTTCCTTTAAGTTTATCCCCCTCCAACCAGGTCTTGGACCAGTTCTCAATAGAGCTTTTAAACAGAGTAATAAGTTGTGTATGATTCATTTGAATGAGCGTATGGTGGGCCATGGTTTGTTATAAGCCTAGGTAGGATACAGGGCCGGCACAACAGTTGGGTGAACTAGGCATTCACCTAGGGCGCCGGCCTGCTGGGGGCGCCAACCGGGATGTTTCCTGGTGGACTGCCTGCCCCAGTCTGAGGCAGCAGCACTGGGTGAGCGGCTATTCCGGGCGAGGCCGCCCCCCAACACCGGCTGATCCTCAATGCACCCAAAGGTGGGGGCACCGAGAGAAGCCCTGTCACAGGGGGCCCGAAGAGGTGGCCATCTGAGGGTGCCCCGAAGCTGTGCTAGGTAAGGCAGAGCAGGCACCTGCTTACCTTGGTGACCGTCCGGAGGAGAGGGGGACAGAAAAGCCAGGCAGCGACGGAGGCTGTTCTTGCAGCCTCTCACTCCTCCTCTGTAAACCGGGTGCCGGAATATGACATCATTCCAGCCCTGGCATACTAAACAGCGGGCGGGAGGAGTGAAAGGCTGCCCCACACTGAATCCCGCAGGGAGGTGAGTGTTTGACTGTCAGTAGGTGTGAGTGTCTGTGTGTGACATGAGGGGGCGCAAAATGGATCTTTGCCTAGGGCAGCAGAAATCCTTGCACTGGCCCTGGTAGGATATGTCCTTGTTTTTCCAGTCACATCTGTTGTCTGTCTGTAAGAAAACTTTTAGGTAATTTAACAGGCCAATCGCAAGGGCTTGAGTCTTTTCCCTGATTCTGTAGAAAGAGTTTTTACTGTATTGATCCAGTAACTGTATGAGGGAGGTAGGAGATGTTAAGTGGGTGCTAAGGAAGCGTAGAATTAAGTTAGCAAAATAAATAAATTATATTTTTAAATCCTTGATGAGATTAGAATACAAGTCAGGTTTTTCTTTTGGGGTGTTAATTTTTGTACCATAGCTCCAGAGCCTGTAATTGGAAAATGAAAAGTATAGGAAGTTAACAGTTATTATGGTTCTGGTTTGGGCTCTCACCGAATCTTCTCCTGCAGCAGAGCACAACATGCTGCAATCTGGGGAGATGGAACAGCAATAAACCCACTGGATGTGTCCACTTAGCACCTGGAGCATTTTACCTAAGGGGCAAAGAGTGCAAATGTTACTTTAAACACACAATATAGTTTAAAACAAAACAAAAAAATACCCAACCCTCTGCCCCAAAATTAAATATAAGTAGTCAAAGTTACTCTACAAGCAACTAAATGTTGGCAAGGAGACACCTTATAGTGTTTAGATATTAATAAAGAAAAAAAAAATACAAGCTACAGATTGCTAATTGAAGATTTAGGTACATTTCGGTAAAGCACGCAGCTTACATTTAATATACTCAAAACATTACAACACGGATGAACAAAATTTGACAGGTGCATGCAAATAAAAGGATTGCCACAATTTCTCATTTTAATCAGGGAGAAGAATGAATAGCTCAGGGATGAGGCAAATCCACAGGTCAAAAGCATGCATGGCCCTGCAAAATACCGGTAAACTCCTATACATTTACATTATGGTGGCATTTTGGAATGTCACATTTCAAACATATCAACAAACTCTTCACACATACATATGAGTAAGATATCTGAACACATATTCACAAAAATCACATCTACCCTAGGTTTACGGACAATTATTGTAAACCTGGTGGACTGACTAGAAGACAGATCATACAGCTCAGCGCCTGCCAAGTGATTGGCACTCACCCATGATGGCCTACCTACAACTAGCCAGAACATCTTAACATTAAAAACAGTGCTCCATAACCCCTTGAGGCTCGGAGATAGCATCCTGCAGCTTGCCACCTGGGGAACTGGCTCCCCCCCAAGCCTTACAAACCAAGGGTAACTCGTCGGCGGAACAAAAAAAAAAAAAATTGAAGTAACTTTGGGAATGGCAGCATTTAAGGGGTGAGTAGCAAGGGGGGGTTACTTGTCCCACACTGGAAAGTTCACCCACTTCTACTGCTACTATAAGCTAGGGAAAACATTTATTTTAATGTTACAGTGGTTCCCAACCCAGTCCTCGTGGAACCCCTACAAGTCCAGGATTCAGGGATTACCCAGTTGTATCTAAGGTGTTTTTAGAAGAAAAAAAAAAAAAAACCACACACCTTGGACACAGAGTGATCCCTAAATCCTGGACTGGTTTGGGAACCACTGAAAATTATTTATTTTTTGACTGTTTGAACATGCAATTGCAATGCTATGCATACTGTATTTTTTTTTTTTTCAACTCAGTCCTACATTAATCCTTTTCCTTCTTTAAAAGCAATTCAATAAAACATTCTATTGAAATTAAAAAAAAAAATACACATTAATTTAACAGCAAATGGTTTTGTAAATAAAAATACCTATCATCCATTTCCAACAAGGTATTTTTCTATTTTATGTTCTCTTGGTATTTACAATGACTATAATATTAGGGACAAGGACTTTACAATAGCTTTGCAATTGTTGTAAAAAAAAAAAAAAAAACACACATGCTTCAGTAAAGCCTGCATTATTGTATACTTGCTAGTGAATAACCATATTCATGGATGTCTAGGGTTGGGTTTCAGAAAGGTTTCCTGTATGTGTAACTATATCATAAAGAGCTTACACTTCACATGACAACAGGGAGTGGACTTTCCTGAATACACAACTGCGGATGCAAAACTATTTCAGTTATTTAGAATACCCACACCCTCAACTAAACTCAGTCTCTTCCTACGGGTGTGTCTACAGCCACACAGATCCCCATATGTAATTATTCTAAAGTGGAAAGTCATACAAGTTTATTTCCTGCAGTCTTAAATACAGAAATATATGCATGTATTACATTTTAATGACGCTAGAAAAAACACCCAGCAGCAGACTATAGACTGATAATGCATTTAAAAAGGAACACTCCAAGCACCATACAAACTACGGCTTGCTGTAATGGTTATGGTACCAGGAGTGCCCCGGCATTCCCCATCATTGGGAGTAGTCAAACTGTTTTTGAACAGCAGAGCTTACAACAGTAGTTGAGATTGTCAGCCAATGCTTAGAAGTAGAGGTGTAGAGCAGTATCTGGCAGACTGCAGGTAAGAAGTCAAAAGGTTCCAAAATGGGCTGGTGTGATTAAAGGGACACTCCAGTGCCAGGAGCAGGTCCCCTCCCCATCCCAAGTTGCTGAAGGGGTTAAAACCCCTTCAGTAACTTACCTTTATCCAGCGCCGATGTCCCTCGGCGCTGGTTCAGGGTCCTCCCCCACCATCATCTGGCGGGAGAGACCTATTGCGCATGCACGGCCTGCGACGGGGGAGACCTAATGCGCATGCGACTTAGACCTCCCCATAGGAAAGCATTGAAAAATGCTTTCAATGCTTTCCTACGGGGATTTCAGCGACGCTGGAGGTCCTCACATAGCGTGAGGACGTCCAGTGACGCTATTGCACAAATCTGTGCTATAAACCCAGAAGAGGAGTTAACCCTGTAAGGTAAATATTGCAGTTTATGAAAACTGCAATATTTACAGTTGCAGGGTTAAGGGTAGTGGGAGTTGGCACCCAGACCACTCCAATGGGCAGAAGTGGTCTGGGTGCCTGGAGTGTCCCTTTAAGTAGCTTGGAATGTTCATTTTAAATGGTTTTGAACCCATCGAGCACGGATTTCGCGAGAACGCCTTATACTGCTATCCACGGATGCTGAAAAGGCCTTCGATCGGGTCAACTGGTCTTACATGATGCATACGTTGAGGGCCATGGGAATGGGACCGAAGATGATGTCGTGGATATCGGCATTATACGATAAACCCAGCGGTTAAAGTAAATGGAGCACTGACGTCCAGCTTTGAGATTCACAACGGGACCAGACAGGGGTGCCCCTTATCCCCCCTTTTATTCGCAATGTCTCTGGAACCGCTCTTACAGGCGATACGACAGAACCCTGACATCCAGGGCTATTCATGGAAAGGGACGGAACACAAGGCGGCTGCATATGCGGACGATCTCCTCTTTTTCATCTCTAATCCACGAATCACACTGCCATGCTTGCTCTGGGAATTTGAAAGCTTTGGCAAAAATCGCAGGATTCAAACTTAAATTTATCTAAATGCGAGATCCTTAACGTCACCTTCCCACCAACCGAATTTGCCACACTGAGCGCAGCTTTCCCATTTCGCAGATGCGAGGGGAAGATGAAATATCTCGGCATCTGGGTGACACAACCCACGCGACCTTTACCAACACAATTTTGCCGCCATACTACGACAAGTAACTTCGGACCTCGATCGATGGGCATATCCACACATCACCTGGCACGGCAGGATAGCGGTCCTCAAGATGAACGTGCTACCACGGATATTATACTTATTCCAAACCATCCCAATATCGCTACCAACAACGTTCTTCTCTAGCCTGAAATCGGCGGTCATCCGATATGTTTGGAGAGGGGAAAGATCCCGCCTTCGACATGAAACGCTCTGCCTACCCAGGATCAGAGGAGGCCTTGCACTGCCGGACTTCAAAAAGTACCACCAAGCCACCACCATGCAACGTATCCTGGAGTGGCACGCAGCAGAAGACCCGAAACAGTGGGTAACTCTGGACAGAGAAGACTCGGGGACCAAACTTAAAGCAGACGTATGGAGGGAGGCGAGAGGTCGGTGTGGATCAGAAGAGGACGGCAATCCGGTGGCACAGACCCTGAAGATCTGGAAATCAACTAGGAAGATGGAACAGGTCTCTCCGACCCCCAGTCCTATGATCTCAATCACACACAACCCCAATATAGGGGGAGGACTCCCCTTTAGGACCTGGGCCTTTTTGGGGGAAAGGGAATATATCCCAATGTGCACGATCCTGGAGGAAGGTCGGATAAGGTCCCTCAGCTCACTATTAGCTGGAAGACCGCAGACCCCCCTCCTGACCCTCCATTATCTACAATTAGCACATTACTACGAATCCTTACCCCACAAGGACCTCCTACACAGAGACCTTACATGGTTCGAAAGCATATGCCGCAGAGGTTCTAAACTCGAGAACGCGGTATTGATGCTCTATCAACATCTACTGATTGGGGCCTCTTCGGATAACAATACATTTCAAAGACGATGGGAAACACAACTAGATATTGCCATTACACCAACGCAATGGGGGACAGCGCTCCTATGGCAGCACAAAAGCTCCTCAAGCTCCTACTATCAGGAGGTCAATTATAAACTGATCTCCATGTGGTATAAAACCCCGGTAGCCATACAGAAAATCTATCCAGAGGCGTCCCCACTCTGCTGGAGATGTCAAGACGCGAGAGGTACCATAGTACATTTATGGTGGGAATGCCATCGCACAATATTGGGACCATATCCACGCCAAAATAAAGGAGATCTTGGGGGATGACACGGAATGGTCCCGAGAATTGGCCCTATTACATATTACTTCACAAACTATCCCCAGATATAAGAAATCAATTCTACGCCATCTCCTAATGCTGCCAAATCCTTAATCCCAGTATATTGGAAGACAGCAACTGTTCCCACGATAGAAGAATGGATCCATAGGGTCAAGGACATCCAGGCGGCTGAGGCGGTGCGGGCATCCCTGGCGGGACGCTCGACAAAGCACGCGGAGACATGGCAACCCTGGTTCTCGTACCAGGCGGACAGATAAAGGGCCCATACGGGGCGCGGAGACGGGACGGACAGGCTGGGACTCGTCGCCTTTGTTGGCCGTACTTACCCTTATGTGTCGGATAATTTATCTTGGGAGGGGTTATGGCCCGTAGTAACATACGATACCTTACTGACCCGAACTTATGCTCGCGCACGCTAGATAAACGATAATGTGGTATCATGAAATCCCTCCCGACACACACACGACCAACCAACGCACATGATAGACTAAACTACAGCCTATAGGACACATCATACGGCTGTGCAATTTAGGAGATGGAGCCCGAAGGGAAGGACCCAACACACAGTATAGAGCCGACCACTAGATGAATCCACCGAGACAATAACACAGCATAGGTTCACAATGCATGACCAACGTACTACAGTAAGCCGCTAGGACAGGACCTGACGAAAACCTGACCATCACGCGCACGCTCAAGGCCCGTTGCGATTGGGCGGGGGAGTGTGGACACCGGGGAGAACTATCCTCACACATACACATCATCCCTTAACCCTCTTCTTTTTCACCCTACAACACGTTATATTTTTTGTTACTCCCATATGTCCCTCAGGGATATAAGTCACTAACCTGACGAATGAAAGCAATATTTGCTTGCCTATATTTAGAGGGTCGAGCATCAAATGAGGAACATGCCCCACACAAAAACATACTAAATATTGTCCTGCAAGCAATTACTAAAAATGCTCTCTAGTGCTGTATTTATGCAAATAACATGTACGCTAACTAAGCCTTAAATTGATATTGGAATGCAAGTGCCTTGAAGTTTTGGGAAACTCCCACTATACTGTTTTGAAGACTGACATATGTTGTAACAACTAATAATGCTATCCACTGAGGCCTGCGAGCCTAACTCTTTTTCTCCAATAAAACAGATTTACAAAAAAAAAAAAAAATGGTTTTGAACCCTTAAAAAAGGGCACTGTAGGTAATGAGATGAAGTGGTCCTGGTGCAGTCTCTGCAGCTGCAAACAGAGAAACTAAAGGTTTGCATTGCAGGATTAAGACAACCACTAGAGGCCCTTCTTGGCCTTTTACAGTGAGTTTGACTCTATGAAACAACGCTTTGCATGATGACGTCCAGCGTCTTCAAAAACCTCTGCGCTTGCGCATTAGGTCCTTCCCATCGGCAGACATTGACGGAGGAGACCGACCCAGCGCCAAGAGACTTCAGCACTGGAATCAGGTAAGTGTTTAAAGGCTTTTTTTTTAACCCTTTACTTGCCACCAGGCAATTTTTGTATTCTTAACACTAACGTTTTTATTGCGCCACATGAGGAGTGAGCAATACATATCCAAAGGCTTTTCACACCCGTGGCACAGGAAGTGTACGATTATTCTGCTGCACCAACAATGCCACAGTCATTATTAGGGCTTGCTGGCAGCCTCTCTTTTAAGAGAAAATAGAAGAAAAAAAAAAAAACCTCAGATTTAATGTCTCTGCTCTTTGTCCTTTAAGTGATATATATTAATCAAAATGTGAGATAAAAATGATTTGACTAACGTGCACTAAACGTTACTTGCTATAAATCCTGTTGCTGAACACAATGTCAGATGAAACTATAGATTACATTTGCTTTAGCTGCAAAACTAATATTCATTGAATGTTTTTTCCAGTTTCAAGAAGGTATGTTTAATAAGGAAAGTCACAGCAATAAATGTATTGGAGACAACCAGAAGTTTGCGTTTAAGATAGATGACAATAAAAAAAAAAAAATCATATTATAGTGGAAAGGGACAACTGAAATCTTGTGCAAGAATCTCATGGGATATTTTCCACCATTCTCACTCGAACTACTATTAAAAAGGCTATTCGTGGGCAAGGGCTTTTTGGTAGGGGGAGAGGTGGCATCAGTAGGTGGGCAATGTAATCCAGGTGTGAGTGGATAACAATGTTCTAAGGAAACATGAAATTAGTTTTTAAAGTCATACCATCCTTTTTTAAATCCCATACTCGTAGTGTCTTGTCCCGGGATGCAGAGACCAGTATCAGACTGCCATTGGTAGAAAAGCTCAAGTCTCTCACAACATCTTTATGGCCAGTAAGATTGAAAAGAACCCTGCCTGTAATAAAAAAAAAAAAAAAAGAAAGAGATAAGAAATGGTTGCACAATCACAAAGTCCGTGCCACAAGGCCTCCGTTGGCTAAATTGAAAGGTGTTTGCAGCTCTAAAATGCAATTTAAAGGCAAAAGTTGGTTAGTTTATAAGACACAACACTGGTGCAAAGTTTAAGAATTGGAGCAATCAGCATGAACCGTCCACGGATTACACTGGTTTTCATGTAGGACTGCTCCACTGTTACAATTTTGAACCACAACAACTGAATGTTTTTTGAACTGAAATTCAAGAGGTGACTTAGCTCTCCAGCATCTTGAAATCTGTTTGAGAAATGTGGAACTTTGTAATAATCAGCTATTTCAGGTTTTGAAGCATGTTGTACCACACATAGGCTTTAGCCTTCAAAAGAAATAATTACAGCTGAAATACAGGCTTGTTTAACCCCTTAAGGGCCAAACTTCTAGAATAAACGGGAATCGTGACATGTCACACATGCCATGTGTCCTTAAGGGGTTAAGACTCAAAATCCTTTTGAGAACACAAAAAATAAAAAATAAAAAAAAAATTTACAAAAAAGTATAGAAGTTCTAATGCAAAAGTCAAAAATAATTTTTTTCAACGTTTACTTTTAAACAGTAACTGAACCAAAGAAGATATTTTCATGCCTTATTACATTCAAATAGAACAACCTATCCATTTCTTTGATTTATTTTTAAGGATTACCTGTATGTACATTCCAGACTTTTACATATCCATCACTAAGTCCTGTTGCCAAAAGTAGCAGTGTTCCAGGAGGTCCCACTTCTTGGTGCCAACTGCGCGGCCATAGCTTCCATCCAGTTTTAGTTGACGAAGAGCCAAAGGCCAAGCTCCAAACTATTCGCCCGCAGTCCAGAGTCTTTTCTTTTAGGCTCCCATGTCCTTTCACCTCTTTTACCTTAAAGCACTGACTGTAGCCCTGAGGTCGTCTAACAAATAAACATAGAATATCTGTCTAAAATGTAGGCTAAACAAGTCCATGGGCAAATATCTTACATCATTTTTAAAATTCTATGTTGACAGAGCAGCAATAGTGACAAAGAGCAGGGTGACTTGCATGCATGCAAGCAAGCAAGAAAAAAAATTCAAAACAGCAAAACCAGACACAGTGATCCAAACATAAAACAGTAGGTGAGAGTGCACAGTACATATACAATATATATATCACCACTTTCAAAATCTTGATCATGATCTGAAATATATAAACAAAACAAATGGTCGTGTAATATTAAAAAAAAAATTCATTAATACAACCATAGAAAAATGTGGTTATCCAACTGCTGCCAATATGAAATGCACCTTGATAAAGACCATTGAAAGGTTGAAACATGGCGCTGCTGTGTAGTTTTTTTTTGGGGGGAGGGAGGTGGGGGGGTGGGGGGGGTTGGGGTGCCTATTTTTTTAAATCTGTGTTTTACTTGTATGTAAACTGAATAAAGCCTGGTATCACAGACTTTTGGACCATGATTTTCAGCAAGTGCCAAGGAGATTCTACACATGTGCCTGCTGGGAACAGCAACCAGATTACTATAAAAAGGCACTACAGAGGAATTCTAATAGTCTGAGCCGATTATATTTGGCTCAGCAGCATGTGAGTTGGATAAGCACGTTTCTATGGTTTTATGAATATTTAATATGGTCTATATTTTATTTACATATTTTAAACAAACAAGATTTCAAAAGGGAGAATCTACATTGTATATGTACTGTGCAAGCTCACCTATTTTAGATTTGAATCACTGTGTCTGTAGGGAGTGACAACGCCAAGGTGAGTACAACTAGCACTTTAGATCCTGTTTTACATCATAACCAAACACAGCTAACATGAGTCCTTCAAGGAACAGTCAGACTCATTTTTTACATGAAACAGAAGAGAACCATAGAAAACATGGCACTCATTTTCTTACATGTAATCTATGATAAAAGTACTGGAAATCTAACTCAAAGCATCCAGGAACGTCCACATAATTAAATGAAGTAACGACAGAGTGAGTTCTTAAACGGAACAGGAATTTAAGAGTATAGCAGCACATTGATAAAGATTAATTTGTATCAAACTTTTTTTTTTCTGGCAGGGACAAACAGAACTTACTGTCAAATAGGGGGCACAAGGCAACACACGTATTCTGTGCTAAAGCCTAAAAGACAACTAACTAGTTGTTCTCATTTTAAAAAGCGTGTAAGTTTTTTTTTCTTGCCTATAACTCATACATTGAGAATTCTCATGATATTTATATGCACATTTAAATACCTGTGCTGAACAGAATTAACATGCCATATTCAATGTTACCTTAATGCAATAAGATAGCCAAAAGACCACACTGTATATGTGGTGTGGAAAACAAGGTCCCACATACAAAATATATAATAAAAAAAATAAATAAAAAAAAAATATATATAGAGGCCCTGAAAGCCATTTATTCATAACAGTGGCATACTGGGAGAGTAGCTGGGGGGCACAAAATGAAAGTTATTGCTGCTGCAAATAGCAACTGGTGGCATGCTGGCAGTGAAACTGGTGGCATGCTGGCAGTGAAACTGGTGGCATGCTGGCAGTGAAACTGGTGGCATGCTGGCAGTGAAACTGGTGGCATGCTGGCAGTGAAACTGGTCATTCCGGAGAACAATGTGATGTGTATACAAGTATAAAACATAAAATTAAACGACATTTGCGATATATTTGCCTTTTGATATGAATCTAGACTGCACAGAGTAAGCACCTGCCATATGACTTCAGCGAAAACTGTAGTAATAAAATTACGAGCACGATACCAAAACAAATAAGAACTGTCCAGAACAAACACCTACAGTAGGTCCTCTTCCAGGGGCCACGGAATAAGCTTGATGATGCCATGCCCTTGAGACCAGGCAAACCAAGTACCATCTGGGGAGAAGGCTACACTCCATGTCTCACAACTGGCCTTCCACTCATATGGCTGTTCTCTATTAGGTCGTAGTTCTGCTAGCAGTACTGGGCTATCTGTAGAAAAACAAATGGTACAAAGACAAAAAAAAACAAAAAAAACACAAACCCTCAGTCTAACATACAATAGATACAAAATAAAGCAGTAAGCACACATAAAAAGTGATAAACAATTACAAACCAAACCATTTGCATTATTCTAGAACAGGAAGAAAGTGCACTGTTGCAAAAGTAAAGGTGTTGATAACATAATTAATGGTTCCAGAGACTTTATATGAAAAATTACACTTTATTGAAGGTCAGTGCTCTCACATTATGTATTTAATTCAAGAAGTTCATATAAACAAAATATTCAGTTTGGCTGTCACCTCTCAGCACCTGATATTTTGAGATATACACTCAAAAGGAGCAAAAACATTCACGACTAGATCATTACACAATTCATACAACTGCAGACCATTAAGAACGGAGTATCACATTTCTTTAAAAGAAGAGTGCCTTTAGTTTCAACAGGGCTCGACAAATCCCAGACGCCAGGTCATAATGGTAACTAGGAATTTTGCCCAGGCGCCTGGGACTTGTCAGCCTGTTCAGCGGAGGCGGTAAGGGAGAATGCAGGAGGTCGACTGGATGTGGGAGAACGGAAGCGGCCAACTGTGCAGAATGGTGTTGCGAGGGAGCTGTACTCTTTTTGCTAGGGACAGCTCTCCCAAAGGTAAGCAGGCTGGGTGGATTTAAATTAAAATAAGTAAAAACAACAACAACAAAAAACCTATAATTTTTGAGTGTGTATGAGAGAGTCAATGCATCTCTATGGGGAACATTCAGTGCCTCCAAGAAGAGCGTAGAGATACTGAACATAGATGCTGCACTTCTAGTGGCTGTATGAGTGACTGTCACAAGGCTGAGTGACTGTCACAGGCAGCAATGTAAACACTGCCTTTTCTCTGAAAAGGTAATTTTTACACTGCAAAGCCAGCAGGGACAGGGTACAGACAACCTTCGGCACTCCAGATGTTGTAGACTACATCTCCCATAATGCTCCTACACCCAGAGTGCTGCCAAAGCATCATGGAAGGTGTAGTCCAAAACATCTGGAGTGCCAAAGGTTGCCTATGCCTGGTATAGACACTAGAACAACTACAATAAACTAGTGGTTCAGGTGACTATATAGTGTCCCTTTAAGAATTGCATTTTTGTTGCTGAAAATTAAGCTTGGTTATTAAAAAAAAAAAAAAATCTGGCTTCTAACTTTTTTTTTTTTTAACTGGCTCCTAGATTCCAATCAAATTTGTCGAGCCCTGCCCTACAGTTCCTTTAATTACACATGGGCCAGTTTCACATATAAAACACTTGGCACGTCAACAAAGCATAGTGTTATATTGCACTTACCAGAGATAAAGATTGATAAATTGTGCTAAACCTTAAATGATCGAGCAGAGGATTGAGTAAGCACATTATCTATTTCTTCACATGACTGGAATGTATTTACATGACTGGAATGCTCTCGCACCTACAAAACAGCCACACAGGAAAACAGTACATTCTGCTCACCCACACAAAAATGAAATCAAAGGACAGCACAAGCTGCCAACTCACTGAAAGAAACTCAGAGACAGACAGACAGACATTCCCCTGTTCTATGTAAAAAAAAAAAAAAAAAAAAAGGAATGGAACTAGGAAATGAAAGCAGTCACCCCTCAGTCAGGTTAATATGGTCAATAAATGTGGAATGCAGAGACAGGCATCATCAGCCCACTCACTCAAGAAGCCATTAAACCCTACAGCCTTTAAAATGAAGGGTATGTGAGGACAGACCTTTAAACAAGGTTTCTCATCCTAAACCTAGCATCATTTAAATAAATAAAAAACAAGCACGCCCACTTTGTAAGGTTAGCCGAATATAAGAAACCATACAGACGTACAGCCCATCATCTCTGCCGTCACATACTAGGTAAGTATGTAGCTAGAATTACCAAGACATGAATACAGTTAGTCCAATGGGTTATTTTAAATATGCTGGTTAGAGTCCAGTGGTTTCCCTGTTTTATTCCAATGGAGATACTGACAAAACCTGGACTGTTGGCGGTCCATGAGAACTGGGTTGGAGAACGCTTGGTTAGACAACACTGGTTAAATCAATGCCACTGAGGGCGGAGTCAAGCGTCCGTACTGAATGGCAGCAACTCTCATGAGCTCCCGTGGCTGAGGATACTACCCGTTACCACCCACACGGAACCCTACCCGCCGACAACACCTACCCTTCACACCCCATGGAGGTGAGCCGGACACAGATGCCCTTTCTGTTCCCGCAAATGGGCAGAAAAACCCGGCGGAGATCGGGGGCCTACCAGGAATACCGCACGGCAAGGCCTGCACCAGACCTACTGGCACTGACGGCTGCCTTATCCAGCCCGCTGCTGACCCACGGGGAAACCCCTCACCGGGAATCAAGCAACATGGGCCGAAGGTCACATAAACCCCCAGAGGGAGCTAATAGGGACTCCCTAGATATCAGCACCATGCTGTAGCGCCCAACAGCCTCCAAAATGGCGAACCCACCTAATGGTGTCCGCAATCTGGAAGACCCAGAGGAGCGGTCCGAAGAGATGACAGAACCCCAACAGCCACACTACCCCACAGTAGAGAGAAGGGAAAACCTAAAGCCAGCCACTAAGCAAGATATTGCAGACTTGCTCCAAGAAATGCGGCAGATGCACGCTGCAGATATGGACCTGATCAAAACAGAGGTACAAGCAGTGACCGCACGCACACAGGCCTCAGAGGAAGATATACAAGATCTCCGGAAAGAGGTACAGGCAGAAGACCGCCACAGGCGCGCCAATATCAAAATCAGGGGAATCCCTAACTCAGTTGACGCGACTGAACTGGCCCATTACCTTAGGCGCCTCTTCAGCACGCTCAGGCAAAAAAGGTAGCACTTGACGGATTCTTCCGAATCAAGAAACCCAGACAAGCCCCACAAATGGCCTCCCAGGACGTCATCATCCGCTGTCAATCTCTGACCGATAAAGCCCGACTTATGGCTGTGGTCAGAGGGAAGACCCCGCTCCCCTTTGAGGACTCATACCTCTCATTCTACCAAGATCTCACGCGGAACACACTCCTATGGCGCCGGTCCCTAGGCCCAGTGACAAGGAGACTACAAGAAGCAGACATCGAATATAGATGGACACTACCAAGAGCCCTGATAGTAACCAAGGGGGGCACCACCCATGGACTCTCCTCACTTAACGAGGTGGACTCATTTTTGCAAGCCCTGGGGCTACACACGAGACCCGCGAACGCGGAGAACCCCTCCACCCCACACGCTTGGGATCCGGACAGAATAACGCCATTCACCCCCAGGAGACGGGAAGATAGAGGGGCACCAACTTGAGATGACCAGCTCTCACACAAGCATTATGTTTTGTTCCACTATGTTTTACCCAAGTTTATAGTAAACCCCACACTAGTTCCCCCCCAATGCTGCAACCACATGAAGGATATCGGACTTTACCAGACCGAACATTTTAGCAACCCCAACGGGCTCCTCAACACCTAATGCAGACTCTATCACCTGCTGAGGCCGAGAGACAGACTCTCACAACCCATAGTACCCTCACCCTCCTCCCGTGTCCCCCTAGGTTAGGGGACGACATCCTACGACCACTAACCACACACACACCCATGTCACACTGAGTGCCATCATTGGCACCCCTACACTCTGAGCGACAGCACACATACCTGGCCCAACAATACAGTACCCAATACGACTCACCGACACTCGCACCGCCTGAACCCAGAGGACGAACCTCACAACACGGGTCCAACCACAGACACCAGAGCACTCATAGACAGGGCAACCAGACACTAATACAGGCCTACCCACCTCTAGGTCGACCTCCCCAGGAGACTATACCATGGGACACAATCACAGCCCTAAAACCAAACGCACACCCTGCCTGGGAGAATGCCACAACAAACACAACGTACACACCCTGACACAGGAGCGCAGCTGGACCCCCAACACATGTTATACTACTCCCTAGTTGACCCAAACATGTCTTAAAAAAAAAAAAAAAAAAAAAAAAGGGAGGACAGATGTATATGAATGTCATGTGTCATACCTGTTATAGAACCTATGGTAACATTTAAACATTCAATGCAAACCTTGTAATAACCTGCTTTATCCTCAATAAAACAAAGAATTAAAAAAAAAAAAAAAGCCACTGCATCAAAATAACATCTCATGCGACAGATAAATAGTAAGAATCAAAGAAAAGATACAACATTATAAATAATACCAACACTTTTGTTGAATAATTGTGTAAATACAACCAAGGTGCTTCAAGTCTGGCCAGCAGTAAGGTACTATATAAGCAGTTAGTGGGACCACCATATATGACAGTATTTGTCCATTTAATAAATGAAGGCTTCTCGTACTAATGACCTAAGAACCAGAAACAGCATAGCATACCAGTTGCCCAACAGAGCAGCTATATGCAAAATGTTGCATTTAAAAAAAAAAAAAAAAAATTACAAATACTGTTCAGCATAAAGTAATGGTTACCGGGCAATAAATATGAAGTGAAGGCAGCATTGGGCCACGATTATATTAATAAATAAAAGTACTTGTCTTGTTACTTTCATTTGGAATCCCTTTCTTTAAAAACAGGTTTAGTCAAATGCAATCAATTAATGATCCACTATAAAGTCATTTACACCATCTGCACAAATAAAACATTAGCAAGGTACACACATATGCAAAAAGTCCAATATACCTATATTAGTAATGCAGTTTCTTTCTTTTGTAAACTGCGGCATGTCTTAACATGTTGGAAATACAGATCTGCCCACAATCTGATAGCACTTACAACAATGAGCAGATATACAATATAAGTTGAAACATTGGTTATTACACTGAATGGGAATACAACATGAGGCAATATTTCTAAGCTAAAATAGAGCTAGCAACCAACTATATTTAATTTGCTACCTAGAACTGGTCAGAAAACCATGAGTAACCCTAACAGGGTTATTCACTAAGCACCTGAATCTGAGTGATTAAGTCAAAATTTAAAAGCCAAGACTAAACCAGCTACCCTGTTAATATAGCAGAGTTGGGAAAATGTTGCCATTTGGATTTAAACATGTCTGTATTCCTAACATATTTAAAGATTCAGGGCACCCTGACATACACACACACACGAAGAAAAAAAAAAAAAAAAAACACACCACACCTTTCTTCTCTGCTGGCTGAAATTAGCAATACTAATAATAAAGAATGGGGAGGTATTGCGCATGCACAGGAATAGCTGCGACAAATAAGCATCTCCGCAGAGTCAAAGCATCTCTATGGTGAGCATGGAGACACTAAACATTGGTCCTGATGCCGATAGTGTCCCAATAAGGTGAAGTAGATTTTTTTTTTCCTCAACTACCTTGGTAATTTTGAGCAAAGAAGGCAGTGAAAAGTGACTATTGTTTAAACCTTTTGTAAAAAAAAATAAAATAATAATTTTCTGCTCTCATGGATAACAATTGCAAACACAAAACGGGTTTATAAATGAAAAAAAAAAATCAATATATAAATCTTTGGTAAATATATGTGGCACAATTATTGTCACCCTTTTAGTCAATACTTTGTGCTACCTCCCTATGCCAAGATAAGACTTCTGGGTCTTCTCCAACCTCTTCAGGCATTAAAAGAGAATTAATGGCAGAATCTCTCCAGATCGTTCAAATTTCAAGGTCAATGGTGGTGGACTCTTCTCTTCAGTTAACCCCACAGGTTCTCTTTGGGGTTCAAGTCAGGGGAGTTGAATGGACATGACAGAACCTTGATTTTGTAGTCCGTAAACCACTTTTGTGTTAATGTATTTTATGTATGTTTTTGAGGATTGTCCTGTCGGAAGATCCAACCATGGCCCATTATAAGCTTTCTGGCAGACACGGTCAGGTCAGATGTTCATTAAATATTTGATTAAGTCCATGATGCCATGTATCCAAACCAAATGTCCAGGTCCTCTGGCAGAAAAAGAGCGCCAAAACATTCAAGTGCCACCACCATATTTAACGGTGGGCATGAGGTACTTTTCTATATGTACCTCTGGTATTTATTGCCAAAAAGCTCTATTTTGGTTTCATCTGACAATAGAATCTAATCCGATTTGAAATTCCAGTAGTGTCTGATAAACTGAAGACACTTGATTTTGCTTTTGGATGAGAGTAGAGGCTTTTTTTCTTGAGGCTCTTCCAAACAACTTATGGTAACTTGTAGGCAACGCCGGATTGCAAGTTTGGAGACTTTCTAAACCCCAAAACGCAACTAACTTCTGCAATTCTTCAGCTGTGATCTTTAGGGATTTTTTGGCCACTCAAACCATCCTCTTCACAGTGCATTGAAACAATATAGGCACACATCCTTACAGCTTGATTCATAATATTTCCAGTTAACTGGAATTTCCTAACTATTGCTCTAATGGTGGAAATTGGCTTTTTCAAGGTTTGTGCCATTTTCTTTTAGCCACTTGGTGAAGCTCAACATGCTTCTGCTGCACGTCCCAGTTATATTCCTTGGTCTGACCCATTGTGATGAATGTGTTAACTCATATTTCCTTTTCCTAAGAGTACTAAACATGTAAAATATCAATGGGAAATATGCTTCAACTATGAATTCATAGGGGGTGACAAAAATGTACCACAAACAGATTTAACAAAGATTTGTATTTATTTTAATGTACCTGTGTTGTGTTTGTAATTGTTTGATATCCATAAGAGCAGAGTATTGTGATTTTTCTGCACACAGCCTTCTTTGCTTTTATTTACCAAGGCTGCCATTAATAGTGGAGGGCACTGTACATACATACCTTGTCTGAGAAGCATGTTGTCGTCTTTGACACTTTGCTTGAGGTAGCTCACAGGGAGAGATGGCTGGACAATTTATTTACAAAGCATGTAAGATGGAAATTGTTTGATTTTAAATCCTGGGGGGGTAAATAAAATAGGATTTATTTTACCAGCGTCGGACTGGGAATGAAAAATGGATTCCTTACCTTCTGTATATATTTATATTATTACTTCCGTTGAGGATCCAAGTTACCCTGAGTACTGTTATTTTCTGTTATTCACCACAGATGACATAATGCATCTTGTGGTTGTGGTTATTAGGAGATTTCAACAACACTTGTTTTCGATTTGGCTGAAGACAGGAGACAGCTCTCCTGCAGTCAGCTATGGCAGAGGGGGACATCCTCCATTGTAAGTGGATGGGTCTTATGGAGCAAGACAGGGGTAGGCAACCTTTGGCACTCCAGCTGTTGTGGGCCTGCTTTGCCAGTATTGGAGATGTAGTCCACAACATCTGGAGTGTCAAACATTGCTTACTCCTTTTTTTTAAATCATGTTTAATTTTATTCTCTGCTACTTGTTCTATACATACACGATACATGAACTCTCAGCCTATTGTGGCCTCCACAAATCGCAACATAATTGCGTATGATCCCACAGTTATACTTTCTGTCTTGCCAACTCACAACTTTGTTGCGCACAAACCCACGCTCTCGAGCTATCACCATGGGTGCCAGACGGAACGCAAACCAACAGGAGAAGTTCCCGGGCACAGGAAGCAAGCCCACACTCTGATTCAGGCCACGCCCCAATTCTGATCGATCACAGCACACATGGGGAGTGAGTTTTGTTTATGATGGTATAAATACACTGTATCATCTGCAATGCTTTGTACTGATTAAAGTTTTGTATTGAAACTAAGAACTTTGACCTTTTAGAAGAGGCAATAAAAGACAAGTTTTATTTTTCAAATCATGAACCATGGAGTAGTATCATTGCTTGATATAGAGATTGTGTGTATATATACACACACACACACACACACACACACACACACACACAGAACAAAAATATGAAAAATTAAAAAAAAAATTAAAAGAAGAAGAAAACCAAACTGTAGTAAGGGTGCCTCAACCTCAGCTCCCAAGGCCAACATTTGTAAGACCACTAGCCCGCACATGCATAGTGAGAGGGCTGGGCCAGACTAGGATTGCTTACCATGGCTGACCAGCAACACTGGTGCACTGCCAGCATAAAAGAGCTGATGCCTCAAAGTTCCTACAAAGTCCCTTCTCATGCGGACATATGTAATAGTAATATCCCCACGTGGTATCCCCTATCTGAACAGGCCGGGAGTATCAGAGATGGCGCAGTGAGTGTCTCTGTAGAAGCAGGAGAAAAGCCAGTTTAAACAAATCAGAGGAACATAAGGCCGGAACACCCTCCGCCCACAGGACAGAGAAGTGGGCAATGGATATAGAAGCAAGATATCTTATGGCAGGGCCTCCCTCTTTAAAATGTTTGAGCACCCTGAGTTATAGAATACAGAAATAAGAAGGGGGGAGAGGGGGAATGCAATAGTTATTATCAAAGCACTAATCCACACATTTGGGGCAGAGCTGGGCTCCAGCAGGCTATTCTTCCTAATGTACTGGTGGCTCAGATACATACATATGAGAAAGATTGTGCATTCAGTGCTGCGCTCACTCTAGAGGTCCAGATGTTTGAGTTTTTATTAAAAAAAAAAAAAAAAAAATTAAAAAAATGCATTACTGTTAAACTTACTTTTTCATGTCTATCTGACAAAAAAAAATAAAAAAATTTACACACACACACACGCGCGCGCGCGCTGGATTGTATTCCCGCAAAATCTTAACCTTTAAAATTAACAATTGATTTGTTCTTCTGCTGATTAGATATTTAAATAGAAATGACAGTGCTCCAAACGAAGACCAATTGTAATGTTCAGCGCTAATCCCAGCGAAAGATTATGTGATTTACTTTGAGCAAGGTTATATAAAAAGTTAGGTGTTATGTACTCTCTCCCCACTCCCCCACTATGTGGGACAACAGCAGCAAGTTCTTAAAGAGACACTGCAGACCCCTAAAATTACTTTAGCCTCCTGAATTGCTTATGTGTGAGGAGCAAGCCCTCCTCCTCACCCCCTTTTCCTCCCACCACGAGATGTCACTTTTATAAGAAATAACCTTGTGAAACCTCAATCCACGTGTCAGAAAACTGGTCTTGCTACTTCCTTGTTTGGTTAGCTCAGTGGAGCTAAACTCAAGAGGCAGCAAAGACTTTTCATTGAGCTACATTGTGAAGTCTGTGATTGGACAGCCACATAAAGTCTTGGTAGGGTTCGAAGGGGAGGGCTTGCAAATGCAACAAACAAAAGATCTGCAGTTTTTAGATATATTCCCCAATGAAAAAGAGAAAATTAAATACATGCACGTTTTCACTGGCAGCATATCTAATAAATAGTGATTTTTATTTTGTTTGGGAGTGGAGGGCCCCTTAATGATGACTACCACTGCTGGACCATCAGATGAATGGGACTTTACATTTTTGCTTGCGGTTGATGTGAAGCACATTGCTTCAAATAGAAGACGGACAACAACATTCTTGCAGGTCTTCAATTTAAGTGAGGGATAGGACAGCTTTGTTTTAGATAGGATCTGAACTGTATTATAATGAAATTGTTTTGTTTTTTTTAATTTGCAATACTGTTTGCGCACATGCTAGTTCACTAATTTTAGCTCTTCTGCAAGTTCATCCAAGCTAACTGGCTTTGCCTGTTATGGGTCTGTGCAGGGAATTACCAGTCCTTTAATGCAAGTGTAGCAACATGCGTTTAACAGAATTAAAGTGCAAGTCTATACAGCATGCAAGGGAAACATTCCACAACTCGTTTGTAAGCTAGTGGATTCTGCGGGGAGCTCAAGAAGTTTTCAGATTAATTATTACCAAGAATAGCTTACAGGTAGTTTTACCACCGGTTTGTTTAATCTAAAACAAAATGTCAGTATACAAAATACAGATGCTCAAGCTACACAAAAAAAGTGGTTCAATCATCAGACCCACGTGGTGTGTATCATAAAACCTATTTGTACACATTCAAAAATTACTAAAGAAACATATCCATTAGTGTGAGATTATACTACCAACTGAATAGTCATCTTCTACATACTGTAGGTGCGGCACATCTACAATAATGCACCTTCTGCCTGAAACATGAACAATGAATTGGCCATTATAGCAACAACCCACCCTGGATATTCCGTACAATAAGATTTCTGTTATATGATGCACTGGATAACACAATGCTTTAAAGTTTATGTCAACCTGCATAACTTTTCAATGCCATACCAGTCACAATGCTTCTAATATTAGACAATGATTTCACATAGCAGTCAAAGAGAAAATGTAATGTGGCAATCACTTGACTTCAGGATTTCGTGCAAGGACATTAGTTGTATTTCAAGACAGAATTCTAAAGTGGTAAATTTTTGTGCTGAAATAGCCTTACACCCAGAGGTAGTAAAAAAAAAAAACAAAAAAAAAAACCACAATGATCATACAACTGCTGATGCCTTAAAGTGGGGGAGAAATTGCAAATATATATATAATGGTGGGGAAAAAAAATTGTGATTGAAAACCCCTTCCACCTGAAGTCTGTGGATAGTTAATACAATGTTAAACAAAAATCTGCACACCAGTCAAGCCATAAGACTTGCTTTTCCCACAGAAATCCCAAATCTGCAGTGATGTTACAACCGCAAAGGATTCTGGGTGGGCATATGCAAATTAGTTTAAGAATCACATTTTTGCCTCAATCCATTTTAAACATGGATTCCTTTTAATCTGTGTTTGCAGTATACAACTGGTAGTTGTATAATTTATAATAATAATTTTGCATTTTTTCCTAAATTGTGTTCCAAGCAGTTGTATACTGCAAACACAGATTAAAAGGAATCCATGTTTAAAATGGAATGAGGCAAAAATGTGATTCTTTGTTAAACTAATTTGCATATGCCCACCCATCCTTTGTGGTTGTAACATCACTGCAGATTTGGGAATTCTGTGGGAAAAGCAAGTCTTATGGCTTGACTGGTGTGCAGATTTTTGTTTAACAAATATATATATTGGGAGAGAGAGTTTTTCCTTGTACAGCTCAGACCTTTATCTAACGTTTCCTGAATATGGGCATACTTCCCGTAATAGCTTAGTAATGCACTTTTACTAGCAATTTAAAATAAATAAATGCATGTGAATGCAAAAATGAGCGAACTTACCTATGTCAATTTTGTGTATTAAGAATTTCCTCAAGTGAATAACCCACATACAGGACCACGCTCTGAATGTGCATCAGGATTTCATTTAATGAAAACTAGGATTAAGTTATTCTACACTGCATACCGTGGTTAATCACATCAATTCTTTGTTTTGCCTACAAGAGTTCTGGTACATGAAGTGTAGTGCCTTTAATGAAAATAAAATCTACATGTAACTATCCTAAGATTGCCTACTTATTTCCACCAGCTAAAGCAACACGGTAAAACATGTTAGTGTCACAGTGGTGGACTATAGCCGTTCCAGAAACCAAGAAGAGAATTGTTCAATAATGTGTGAAAAATGGAACTCATGGTTGGCTGTTTAAAAATTATTATATTTGTTAATCCATATATGTGCTTGCCTTTCAGACTGGCATGAATATAGAATATGCAGAGAAAATAGGACAGTCATTTGTGTCACTTTGAAATTACAAGAAGGGAAGAAAATAAATAAATTAATTAAAAAAAATCACCACACACACACACACCCCCCACACCAAACATTTCAGAACATATCAATGCAAAGAGATTTGGATGTGTGTGTGTAAAGTTACAAATGTTCATTAAATCCACAGATTTAAAAAAAAGTTAATCCAGGGAGAAGTGTGTAAAATAAACTTTCCGTTTTGCGGAAAAGATTCCCCAGGAATACACAGATATGTAGATAGGCAAAGTAAAGCATAGGAAAAAATTAAAAAAAAAAATAAATAATATATATATATAAAAATTATTTTTTTCCTTCCCATCAGAAATGCAAAATCTACATTGATATATGTACAATTCTCACACTGCTATACATTGTTCCAATTAAAAGCCCATAAAATCTTATTAGCAATCAAAGTTTGACATAGAACTGAAAAGTATTACCTTCCATGGTATCCAAGTGTCAGTGCTACCAAGTCCTTCTGCAAAAAAAACAAACCAGGTTTGTAGTGACAACTTCACAAAGCAACACAACCTATGATACCTGACCCCTTCCAATTACTTACCAGAACTCTAAATATCACTCAGAGCAGGGGCCAGTCTGCACAGGGGACCCAGGTGTGCTGAGAGGGGAGGGGGATTTGTGTGGGGTCTCCCCTATTGAGGGGCAGCTTGTTGCAGGATATAATTATGGAATTGGATCTCTTAATTAGTGGACCAGCTGCAGAGCTAGTAGATTTACTATATATAAGGTGCTCTTATGTCCCCCATGGCTGGGAGGTAGGTTGGGATAGGGGTTGATTTGGAGAAGGAAGTTTGGGGTGTGAGGTCCCTGTGCTGAGCCTGGTGACTCATATTGCAGTGTGTGGGTGGGTGGGTGTGTGTGTGATGGAGGTGCCTGGGTAACAGCTCCAGGGGAGGGGGGAGGACTTCTACATGGACCTACAGAGAGAGGAATCCACGAGGGTGGTCGTAGCTCAGTGACAGCAGGGTCTCACTGGTGCGAGCGGTTTTGGGGCACACACTAAACGCACAGCTCCCATGGGAAAGATTTAGGGGAGCACAGAAAAAGGCTTATCCCAGCTGCTTCCGGTCATATGATCAGCAGGAATTAGCAGTGTTAACCATAGAGAGCTGCACTTTGACTGATCGCCATCTAGAGGCGGTTTATGGGCAGTGCATTCAGAGTCATGTTACCCGAATTTATTGTTCGTTTCAGAGGGAAGAGTCACTAAGGATTACACCTAGGGAGAGGGGAGGCAGTGGTACAAGTACCCCCATGTACCACTAGTATAGAGATGAGTGTGGGCTGCTGCTTGCCAGCACAATAATTAAATATAATATATAATTATTATTCTATTGTAATTGCCTAGAATTCCAAGTGAATCTCAAAATTTTGCTCAAAATAACCAAATTAAAAAATATATCTCCACGTTAGATCTTATTTCAGTTTGCCTAGTTTGGCTTTAATCCCTTAAGGACACATGATGGATTCCCTTTTATTCCAGAAGTTTGGTCCTTAAGGGGTTAAGTATGAAGTTCACTTTCAATTCCTGGCAATTCTCTCTTCAGTTAATATAGAATTAAGGAAGGGATTGGAGGTTGGCGTGGCATTGTGCTTCTTTGGTCATGCTCTGATTATACCATTGAGAAGAACATTGAAAATCACCTATAAGATTTATCTGTTTTATGTGCTGCTCTGTTTTCTTTTAAACGTATATAAAAGATTTAAAAATTTGCATTACAATTCAGTTTAGTTCAGGCACAGCCAGGGCACATATTACAGATAAGGAATAGAAACAGAAACATTGGTTTATTTTTCCACCTCACTGCATGCTATCACTACCCTGATGGCACCGAAGTATAACAATGATTGAACGGAAGCAAGGATGGGGTGCTCAGTTTCAGGATAAAGAGGTTTGGATTTCTACATTTCCTGGGTTATTTTAAAAAGTCCCAAATGGCCCCATATTGAATAGGGAAAACTATCCGGCCAGTATAACTGCAAAATCCAGAGATTGTTCACACTGTTTAATAACATCTGGATTTGTCAATTCAGGGGCCAACAGGGTCTTAATTAGGTACTGCTTATAGGTGGCCCAAACACTGCCGGACAGTTGATATCAGGACCTAATGCTTCAAATTCATGCCTTGATGCATCGAATTTTGACCCAGATTTTATTTAAAAAAAATACAAACTATCTTGTTGCTGCCAGCAGGCAAATAGTTAAAAACTATAAGCAATTAATTATATCATCAATTAAACTCCATTTTATTTTCAAAATTGGAATGGAAATGTTTGTTATCCCCCTCAGGGCCGGTGTTGCCTACCGGGATACCGGGAAATTTCCTGGTGGGCTGCAGAAACCTGGGCCAGGAAGACAGCCCAAATCATTAGACTAATGTCTTTTAAGTATTTTCCTCTCGGACTGTGCCAGCCCGTGTCAGTCTGAGGAAAGTCAAGAGGGAGGAGCTGGGGGCTGGTGTGGCCGGAGGGAGACCTATCAGTCTCCCTGCACAATTGACATCACTTCTGGCCATATGTCCGGCCACCACACATAAGCCCCGCTTCTTGGATGGAAGCCCCACCTCCTGCACACAAGCTCTGCCCCTGCACGCACGTTGCTGACCTCTCTGGAAGGAAGAGGCCACAAAATGGCAACTTCACCTACCAGTGCCAGGAAAGCTTCAGCTATGACAGTGATTGTGTGTGTGTGTGTGTGTGTGTGTGCCTGCTAGTGAGTGAGCTTGTGTGTGTGTGTACCTGCTAGTGAGTGAACTTGTGTGTGTGCGTGCACGCGCCTGCTGGTGAGTGAGCTTGTATGTGTGTGTGCCTGCTAGTGAGTGAGCTTGTGTGTGTGTATGTGTGTGCTTGCTAGTGAGTGAGCTTGTGTGTGTGTGTGTCTGCTAGTGAGTGAGCTTGTGTGTGGGTCTGCTAGTGAGTGAGATTTTGTATGTGTGTGTCTGCTAGTGAGAGAGCTTGTGTGTGTGCCTGCTAGTAAGTGAGCTTGTGTGTGTGTGTGTGTGTGTGTGTGTGTCTGCTAGTGAGTGAGCTCGCATGTGTGTGTCAGTGGGCTTGTCTGTTGGAAGTATGTGTGTGTGTCAGTGAGCTTTTCTGTAGTGAGCATTAGTGATGTCGCGAACCCGAAATTTTCGGTTCGCGAACGGCAAACGCGAACTTCCGCAAATGTTCGCGAACCGGCGAACCGCCCGAAACGCCATTTACTTCAATGGGGAGGCGAATTTTAAAACACACAGGGACTCTTTCTGGCCACAATAGGGATGGAAAAGTTGTTTCAAGGGGACTAACACCTGGACTGTGGCATGCCGGAGGGGGATCCATGGCAAAACTCCCATGGAAAATTACACAGTTGATACAGAGTCTGGTTTTAATCCATAAAGGGCAGAAATCACCTAACATTCCTAAATCACAATCAATATGGATTGACACCTGACATATGACATATTGACACCTTGACATATGGATTGACACCTGTCCTCAGAGCCCCTGATGCACACGGACACAGAGCAGAATAGAGACTGTTCCCCCTACATAGGGTCACTTGGCAGATATGGATTGACACCTGTCCTAAGATCCCTGATACACACTGACACAGAGCAGAATAGGGACTGGTCCCCCTACATCGGGTCACTTGGCAGATATGGATTGACACCTTGTTACAAACTGCTATTTGTAACGGGCCCTTTAAATGGCAAATTGCCCTGCTTCCCTGGGTTGTGGAGAAGCCTATTTGCCAGCCTCCTCCCGCATGACTATGGCCCTTGGGAGATTGTGAAAATGTATGCACTTTTATTTGGTGTGTATGGCCCTTTAAGACTGTCGGTGGGCATATTGGGGCTTATGGACTCTTTATGTGACTGGTGCTGGCCCTTTAAACACCTTTTTGGGACATCAGGAAGATTGGGACACTGCCCCTTTAAGGCCGTGTCCCCAGACTTGTTGGGGACACGGCCCCTTTAAGACGGTGTCCCCTGTGTCCCCAGACCTGGTGCAAACCCTTTGTGCCTGCCTTGCTATTTCCCACTTGGTTCAGTAAATGGGAAATTATTTCAGCTGCAGAGACTAAGTCCCATTCGGCGATGGGACTTAGTCTTTTTTCAGCCGTTTTTTTCAGCCTTATTTCAGCTGCAGAGACTAAGTCCCATTCGGCGATGGGACTTAGTCTTTTTTTCAGCCTTATTTCAGCTGCAGAGACTAAGTCCCATTCGGCGATGGGACTTAGCCTTTTTTTCAGCCGTTTTTTTCAGCCTTATTTCAGCTGCAGAGACTAAGTCCCATTCGCGATGGGACTTAGTCGTTTTTTCAGCCTGAAATAGACCGACCTCACAGCCCAAATCTATGGAACTGTTTTGGGCAGGAAA